ACCCTTTGCTATCCGGGCGAATGCAACGACCATTATGTCACCGCGGCACTGACGGCCGTGTCGATTTTTTCTCAAAACTTAGGCTTCAAGGCAGCGCCATCTCTTCGCATTGTAGATAACCCACTTCGTCAAATGAATACCTTTACAAGTATTCAACATTTCGGATTTCCCTCTTAGCTATGATATATATAGGAGTAATAATAATGTTTCCTCACATAATCCTACTTATAGAATGTGCCGGGAATATAATGATTTACTGTGTGAATTGGACGGAGTACCTGACATCTGCGGTCAATCGCTCAACAGTTGGAAAAGCAATGTGAAAAAATATATTAACTAATTAATACCATTGCTATAATCATTATAACAATTGTTTAACAATATCTATGAAGTTCACGTGTTTTTTATTTAATTTAATTTAATAATGTCTTTATTTATAATTAATTTAATTTTATATTTCTAATTTGATTAATGAATTGTGCACGTCTTAATCTCATTGAAATTGTTATGAATGAATTCTATGTTAATGTAATTATTAAAATTTTGAATTTTTAATGTATGGTTGCTGTGTACTTGTATAAGCATGCTGTTTGCACATGCTAGTGGAGTTCAGTATTTTTTTATCAATTGTTTTTCTAAGTGTCATTTACCATTTTGCTTGCTGTAACTCTGTTTTGTGCAATAAATAAATAACGTATTTGTTTCTTAGGTTTTCACGCACATCACTCATTAAATAAAACTAGTTTTTACGGGTTCAAAACGCTCAATAAAAGTCTTTCGAAGGTAGCTCGACAAATTAAATAAAAGTTTTATTCTGACGACGTAGCCTGTAAAGACTACGAAACGTCAATAAATAAATAAAGTTTTCGTGCATTAACCCGTAAAAACTAGTTTTATTTAAATAAATAACGGTTTTCAAAAGGCGGGTAAACCTTTTCCTCCAGAGCTGGCAACACAGGAGTGGTATCCTTGGTGCTGCAAGTGTCATAAACGGCAGTTACCATCATCAGGTGGACTGCCAGCTAGTTTGCCAGCATAAATAAAAAAAAGGAAAATACTTTTGTCATCGCAGGCCAATGCGACAATACAAAATCGCGCTTCTCGAGAATAGGGATGATGAATAATTTTTTTTCTTCGTTTATCATGTAGATTATCAAAAAGTATTGGACACGTATTTTTTCTATTTTCACATAATATAAACATTGCAGAGATATATTGATTTGAAAAGTCGCATGACGTCACGTTTGAGTACACTTTTAAGCGAATATTCACTAAAAAGTGACGTCACGAGCCCCTACTCTCAAACTTTAACGCGCTATAACTTTGTCATTTTTTGGTTGATTGCCCAAAAAAAAAAAATACGTGTCCATTATTTTCTGATCATCTAACTGACGGACTAAATATAATTTCGTTTACTGTATCCCGTCATCACCCCTATTATTTAAGTAAAGAAATAAAAATCATGTTATAAGAGATCCATTATTTATTTGTTTATGATTAGACCTTAACTATGATTAGTTTGCGTGATTTCTCATAGACAATAAGCATTGTGTAGGCAACACGGGCAGTTAGTAATCACCGCTCGTCATCACATTATTCGCTGAGTCATTAGTGTTGCCAGTTACGCAGTTTATTGTTAACAATCATAATAACAAAATTTCTCTTAAACCGCTCTTATGGCACATACGTGAGACTTGAGAGAAATAATGTTCAAATTGCATTGTCACAAGTTTTCATAAGCAACTAAGCAACATGCAATAGTGATTAATAACGATAACTTAAATAATTAAATCCATACATAAATGCGAAAGTGTCTGTCTGATACCTCTTCAGTTGTAACCCGCTAAACCGATCCGATTTAGCTGAGTATAGAGTTCATTTGAGACCCGCGAAAGGACAACGGATATTTTTGTACCAGAAATTATCCTTGTAGGCGGTGAAAAGGTCTTTTTTTTTCATTTTTTGATCATTTATTTGTGGTATGTAGGTAATACATGGTTATTATGCTTAAATATACAGTCCAACTACGACCAGCCATCAGGCATACAAATATAGAATTAATAACGGTACTTTAAATTATACTACATAAAAAAACAATTAAAATTATAGGTCATGTAAGTTTGTATGGCATATTTTTCCACGTTGACGAAGACTTGTTAAGCTATAAAGGTAATAAATAAAGATTTCTCACGTTGAATGTAAAGTTGTGAACCGAGGTAGAATTTTTATAATAATTTATAATGACGACCTTCGTGGCCGAGTGGTTTGTACGCCGGGTTTCATGGTGTCGCCGACTCGAGATATCCCGGGTTCAAATCCCGGTGGGGGCAAATGTTTGTATGATGAATACGAGCATTTGCACTCCAGTCATGGATGTTTAATATGTCTAATATATAAAATTCTCGTGTCGCGGTGTTTGTGGTTAAACTCCTCCGAAACGGCTTTCCCGATTCTCATGAAATTTTGTGTGCATATTGGATAGGTCTGAGAATCGGACAACATCTATTTTTCATCCCCCTAAATGTTAAGGGTAATCCACCCCTAATTTTTTTTTTCAATTTTAGATATTTTATTTTTATTTTTTTATGATACATCATACACAAATACATACAACCCTAAATTTTCGCCCTTCTACCACCAACCCCTGTTTTTTTATGGCGGTACGAAGTTCGCTGGGTCAGCTAGTATTTCTATAAAAATATACTTATATATGTACTGTATATTCTATCCATTACCCTAGTATCCCATAACACAAGCCTTATGGTATACTTACTTTGGGCCTAAGCTAATTGGTGAGTGTTGGAAATATTTTTGATGTGTAACATCTTTCCTCTCGCTTTCCTGCAATTTGTGGGAGTGATACCGTGAAATGGGACGGAAGTGTGCAACAGGAAGTCGCGAAAACGCGCGCTATTTGATTTGATTTTAGAACATAATGTTCAAAAATGACTTATTACTTTTGTAGTAGGTTTTATTTCTTTTTTGACTAATATAAGGTGAGGTTTCAAATGTTACACATCATACGCGACTACTGTAAGTGTCGACGCACACGGGCCACACGCCACAGCAACAAACGCCGCCACGAGAAGCTAGAAGCGGCTACTGAAGTGGCTGAAGCGCGCGACAGCGGCCGACTAAGGTAAGGGAGAGAGGGGTGGGGAATCAAGTTGTATTTTTTTTCATTTTTTCCGTAAACTAGTTGCAGTAGAACGAGCAGTACCTACAAAAAAATGGAAAATAGTATTTGCAAATATTCTACATTAACTTACAATAGGAAAAATAAATCTATAGACCGGTCGATAATATTAAAAATGGTGAAAAGTGAAAAAAAAATATAGTAGGATGAAACCCATTAGAAAAGGTAGAGAATATAACAAAAATGAAAGGAAAAATAAATTACGGGCGATCTGAGGTCGGGAAGGGGGAGGGGGTGAGTCTTTAAGAGTAAAAAATGGTTAATTTCAATTTCCGGTAAAACTGCAAGTCCTATGAAAAAAAGTTAAATGGCAAAGTTGTAGGTAATAAAAAGATCTACAACTTTTGTATCGACACTTTTTTCACATAACCTCAAAATTTATGTGAAAAATGCGAATAACCGAGTTTTTGGTTTTTGATTTTTATTTTTTGCAAAAAAAAAATTTTTTCACGAAATTTGGTGAAAACTTACCTTTGTATGTCCCAAACATACAGTATTTTTTTGATTTAAAATATTCATTTTTTCACCTTATTTTGACTTAATATCCAAAAAGCACCCTAATTTTCAATCGAAAATTCTCACGTCAAAATATCTGCTGTTTTAAAAAAGTTGGGGTGTTTTTTGTTTGTTGAAATCTCTACTTTCTGATGGTATAAAAAAATATACACTACTATGATAAATGTTCTCAGAAAATGCAAATTAATAATGAAAACAACTCGAATCCGAAAATCCTATTTTTAATACCTACTTACAACAACTATTTTTGCATGTTTTATGGATTTGTAATTTTTCTGTTTATCAATATAACATGAAATCTTACGTTTTTCGAGTAATTAAAGTGTAAATTTTAATAAATAGTTCAAAATTATACATAATGAATCAAATCAATTTTTCGGATTGGAGTTTTTTTCATTATTAATATGCAGTTTCTGAGAACATTTACCATAGTAGTGTATATTTTTTTATACCATCAGAAAGTAGAAATTTCAACAAACAAAAAACACCCCAATTTTTTTAAAAAAGCAGATATTTTGACGTCAGAATTTTCGATTGAAAATAAGGGTGCTTTTTCGATATTAAGTCAAAATAAGGTGAAAAAATGAATATTTTAAATCAAAAAAATTACTGTATGTTTGGGACATACAAAGGTAAGTTTTCACCAAATTTCGTGAAAAAATATTTATTTTGCAAAAAATAAAAATCAAAAACCAAAACTCGGTTATTCGCATTTTTCACATAAATTTTGAGGTTATGTGAAAAAAGTGTCGATACAAAAGTTGTAGATCTTTTTATTACCTACAACTTTGCCATTTAACTTTTTTTCATAGGACTTGCAGTTTTACCAGAAATCGAGATTAACCATTTTTTACCCTTAAAAACTCACCCCCTCCCCCTTCCCGACCTCAGATCGCCCGTAATTTATTTTTCCTTTCATTTTTGTTATATTCCCTACCTTTTCTAATGGGTTTCATCCTACTATAATTTTTTTTGGTCTCAAAAATTATCGACCCTGGTCTACTACTGTTTACTTCTATTGGAAATAGTCAAAATCTTTTCAAAGGGGGTAAACGTGGCGCTCAAAATTACGATTTTTTGCAAAAAATGTGAAAGGGCTTTTAAGTGGCCGGTGCGGGCCACAAGAAGCGAGCAACGACGATTTGTAGCGTATGGCGGCCACGGGCGTACCGTGTGTGGCGAGTCCATATAAAATGTATGAAAACTACAAGAAATATGCCGGTGGCGGCGTTTTGTGATTGTGGTCGGTGGCCCGTGTGCGGCGACACTAAGGATCGCTCGATTTTTTTTATGTACTGGAGAGCAAGGATTGTATCCAAACAGCGTGTAGATGAACGGTGGTGGCCGACAGCGCTCCATCACCTGCTCGCGTGACCGCTGCCACGCGCGCTCGTCTGCCCTGCATCCAGAGAACCGCTCCGCCCAAACTCAACTATATGAGAAATAGGATTTCGGCATCATTCTTATATCTATTAGACAAGTCCGTCCGTCCGTCCGTGGTGCTGTTTCAGCGGCCAAACCGTAAGAGATAGATAAAGAGAATGTTTAAGTTATAAGTTAAGAATAGTCTGATAAGACTACAAACCGGATGTGAGTAACGTAGCACTTCCGGTTTTCGAGAAATCACGTGATTTCTATTTCAAACAAAACCACACAAAATCTCCGAAGTTCTCAATTAATTAAATACATTTTTTTTTTTGGTGAACATTTGGTTCACTGGTTTGCTAGTCTCTTATCTATTAGACAAGTCCGTCCGTCCGTCCGTGGTGCTGTTTCAGCGGCCAAACCGTAAGAGATAGATATAGAGAATGTTTAAGTTATAAGTTAAGAATAGTCTGATAAGACTTCAAACCGGATGTGAGTAACGTAGCACTTCCGGTTTTCGAGAAATCACGTGATTTCTATTTCAAACGAAACCACACAAAATCTCCGAAGTTCTCAATTAATTAAATACATTTTTTTTTTGGTGAACATTTGGTTCACTGGTTTGCTAGTCTCTTATCTAATAGACAAGTCCGTCCGTCCGTGGTGCTGTTTCAGCGGCCAAACCGTAAGAGATAGATAAAGAGAATGTTTAAGTTATAAGTTAAGAATAGTCTGATAAGACTACAAACCGGATTTGAGTAGCACGTAGCACTTCCGGTTTTCAAGAAATCACGTGATTTCTATTTCAAACGAAACCACACAAAATCTCCGAAGTTCTCAATTAATTTAATACATATTTTTTTTGGTGAACATTTGGTTCACTAGTTTGCTAGTTAACAATATTTGAAAGAAATATATAATGGAAATATTATACGATTTGGACCCGACCAAAAGTCATGGCCGTTTGTTGAAATTTTGTTTTTGCTGCCCTAGACGTTCGGCCCTACATAGATGGCTCAGGTATAGTGGGAGCACTTAACTACGTGCTAGGTTGCTCCCCATATGTTATTCTGCTGCGCTCGAGTAAATCCAAAAATCCCCACTTGGGCTCCCCGACTATTACTAGAAAAAAATCCACGCGGGCCAGGTAGCAGATGGGACTTCGCTATCTGGGCAAATGCACTGACCATTATGCTACCGCGGCCCTGATGCTGGGTCGAATTCTTTCTAGCCATTCTTAAGCTGCAAGGCAGCGCCATCTCCTCGCATTGTAAGTAACCCACACTGTCAAATGAATACCTTTACATGTATTGAACATTTGAAAGAAGAAAAAGCAATTATAATTATATTTTTTATTTTTGAAGTTATACTTCTTTAGCCGCGCTATGAAAAAATTATGAGAGTGAAATTTTAAGATGCGCGCGCAACACTGTAACAGAAAAGTAACACCATGAAGTCGGCCGCTAAACCGCACATTACTCGTAAGTCTCGAAAAAAAGCTTCCAACAAAATAGTAATAGGATCTCTTAGTCGCACATGTTGGCACGCTTGTCGCCTCTGATCACTGTTTTCATATTTATAATATTTATCCACATGTTTCTAGTTTCTATATTCTTAACACGTGTTATAATGTTATACAAATGCGAAATTTATATGTGCTAATAAATTTTATTCAGTAGTGATTTAAATTGAATATTTTGATTATTTATTAAATTTTTCAAATTAAAACTGAACTTTATTGACTGCGTTGACTATCCTTTTCCAATCCTTTTATTATCTTATTGTAATTAATTATCTGCATGCAATTAAAAACTATTTTTAATAATTCCAAAAAGAAGTATAACTTCTCACGCGCGTACTTAAGTACACGCACCCATATTTTTTTTTAAGCATGTAACTACTCAATGTTTAAATCTAAAGAAAATATTACTAGAAAAACTAAAGCAAACGGGACTCGAACCCGCACCCTTCGCGGATTACATTATCTAAAGAAAATCTAGTAATATTTTCTATGCTTAAAAAATTAAAACTATAACTAGAAAGGTATGATGTCGTGATCTCGTAATTTTAAGTACCGACTGTGCAAATTAATAGGTACCCAATAGGGGTGATGACAGGGTACAGTAAACGAAATTCTATTCAGTCCTTCAGTTAGATGATCAAAAAATAATGGACACGTATTTTGTCTTTGGGCAACCAACCAAAAAATGACAAAGTTATAGCGCGTCAAAGTTTGGTAGGGGGTAAAGGGAGTAGGGGCTCGTGACGTCACTTTTGAGTGATTTTTCACCTATAAGTGTACTCAAACGTGACGTCATGCGACTTTTCAAATCAATATATCTCTGCAATGTTTATATTATGTGAAAAAAGAAAAAATACGTGTCCAATACATTTGATAATCTACCTGATAAACGAAGAAAAAAAAATAGTCATCATCCCTATTGCTGCACTGATTTCATCGATGTATCTATTACTCTAAGCAGGCTCGAACAGCAGACATGATTTGGACTACGGGTAAGAAAGTTACAAACATAAATGATAAAGCAACTTGGCCTTAATGAAGCAGACTCATTTTTATATACTTTCTTAATTTGTTTGCAAATAAACAATTATTCTCATGGCTAATTGGACATTTTAGGGCATTTTTTCTCTTTTTATGTGGTTAATACGTGATTTGTGTTTCTCTCTACCATAAGGTCTGTTTATAGGCAATTGGGTAAATTATTAACGGCAATTCTGGAACTAACCTGCGCTATCATCTTTGTATCATTCGTGGTGAAGCAAAGTTCTTCTTCCGATCTCGTACAATTCAAATCACAAGTTGTGCTTGATAATTGTATGTTAACAGGAATAGAAATAATTTTCATCACGTCAACACTGAGCTCGTTCTAAAATAACAAAGTTAGGTGTGTAGGTACTTATTTTTAACTGGATCAATACATAATGATATATTACACGTAAACTGAAAGACTAGCTTTCATTAAATATCCAGAGCTTCGTTAGCGGTTTCTTACTAAGTCGATAATGTTTAAAAGTTAATATATCTTCCTCTCGTCGCGTCGGCGAGGTGGCACGTGAATCGATATATCATGTATGTAGTGCTGGCTGAATTCATCCGCTTCATAGGCAAATAAATATGTAAGTATGATAAATCTAAAGAAAAGTTTACTAGAAAAAAATCCACGCGGACCAGGCAGCGGAAGAGACTCGAACCCGCACCCTTCGCAATCCGGGCGAATGCACTGACCATTATGCTACCACGGTCCTGTTCGCCGCGTCGAAATTTTCCTAGCCTTAATCTGCAAGGCAGCGCCATCTCTTCGCATTGTAGGTAACCCACAATGTCAAACAATTGCTATTGCTATTTCTTCTTTCAAATGTTTAATACTTAAAAAGTATTTGTATTGTTATTATATTATTGTATTTGACATTGTGGGTTACCTACAATGCGAAGAGATGGCGCTGCCTTGCAGCTTAAGGCTAGGAAAATTGCGACGCGGCGAATAGGGCCGTGGTAGCATAATGGTCAGTGCATTCGCCCGGATTGCGAAGGGTGCGGGTTCGAGTCCCGTCCGCTGCCTGGTCCGCGTGGATTTTTTTCTAGTATTTTTTTTTTCTATTCTTTAGATTTAAACATCTAGCAGTTAAATGCTTAAAAATAATTAAAAACAAACTATGTAAGTATGTTTCAAAGCTGTGATAGACGTAAATACCTTAATATAGGCCCAACCATACGCTTGCGCTTCTATGTTCGGTGGTACTTCATCCATGGCGATTTCCAATCCTCCTCCCTCCATCCTGGGCGCGATTCTCATCATAACCAAACCGGCACACCGGCTTCTTGGGAAATTAGAGAAGTTGGTGGCTCCGCGGTCAGGTTGAAGCACTACTTGGGTGACGTTATGGATAGACCCATCCACTAATGGATTTGTGGCTTCAGCAACGACAGTGTAAACGCTTTTTCCGGTGTAATTTGTTCTGTATTAAAAATTAATGGTGATGAAAAAGACCATTAGATTTAAATTATTAGATCACAGAGCAGCAGTCATAAATATTGAATTATTAAGAAATGTGAAATAAAATTACTTGACGACTTGAAAATATTTAGACCTCACTTACTATAACAATATCAATATTGTTTTCATTTGGGAATAATCACCACCATTGCGGGGGAATATTTACGATTAAAATTTTAAACCCTAAGAAGTTGGAAGTTTAAGAGATGAGAGAGGCATCAATTTTAATTTTATTAAACATCGTAAGAGAATTTTATACAAAAACATACCCATTTCGTAAATAACCCAAAACATCAATGCAATTTTCAGAAGTCAAGACCCAATTTGGTGAAAGCAAAGTTCCCGAGCAAGTATGCGCGGTTATATTTGATAGAGTCTCGAAAATGGCCACCAGAAACGTAGATGTTTCAGGTAAAACAGGATGTGATATAATGTCATCTGCTGTGTCTGTTCCATTAACATTTTCACATTTGATATCCTCAAATTGTTTGCCTCTCTTAACGTTATTCAATTCAGCGTTTTCCATAGAAAACTCATTTTCAAATTCAACGACAGAATCAACGATATCATTATTTTCGTCAAATCTTGATCCAGTTTTGAAATTCACATTTGGTTTTATGTCCAGCCCAAATTGTCTGTTGGCGGTTTCGAAAACGGCATCTTGGATTGTAGGCGCACATTTATAATTTGCACTGCTAAATATTCCATTGTCCTCAGAAGTTTCAGGAAATTCTAAAATGAGAGTCAAATCATTCAGACAACGTTAAAGTCTTAATTGCTCTTACACATCAATTCAGTTATTAATTGGGCGTCTCAAATATGTACCACAGTCCAAATATTGGATTCTTTGACTGATTGGCGACAGTCGTTCTTCATGCTGCCTTGACCTTGTGGTAATTTAAGAAAAGCTTGTGTTTATAATCATTTTGCTGGCTTGCATTTTGCTAAATAAATAAACTAATAATAAGTTACATTGAGGTGATTTGGTTTTATTTACCTTTTGTAACAGTGTCTAATAGGAACACGACCACCAGGGTATAAGTCATGCTCGCGCCACACAATGCTTGTTTACTGAGCTCGCTCCCAAACAAGCGCTTACGCGAAACGATAAATCTACTATTGAGTGCAATTCTTTACATATTTTCAAACAAGCCAGTTGGCTAATAGAAAAACTACGTCCCCATTTTTTTAAAGCTAGGTAGGCAAATGACTCTACCCCACCTGATGTTAAGTGGTGATAAAGTCCAAACGCGGACTTTTTGGCGGGATCGGGAAGCGTCACTTTAGCAGTTTTGTTTTTCTTGTTAAAAATTGTGTTGTGGCGGATGTTAGTGTCTTATAATGGAAAAAAGGATTATTAACCACTAAGTGTTCGGAAACATGCACAGGTGTTGGCAAGTGAAACAAAATAGCGGAAAGTGTCTTTCGACGTTCTCTCAAGAAGTCCGCGGGGAGGTTCCAGTAAATCCCCACATATTTACTGAAACATAGGGAAAGGGGGATTGACTTGACTGCCACTTACTTTGACTTGACTAATATTTTGACCACGAGTGCTATAGAATATGTAAACATTTTACACTTGACATTGGCTAAAAGCACAAACCGTGCGAAGCCATATAGAAAAAAAAGTCCAAACAAGTTCTTAACTGCTACACCAACCATCCTCACCTTGCCGGCCTGCAAGAATGCTTCTTCACTCCTCTCATAAAGGACCCCATATTGTCGGAAGGAGGGAACACGTGCGCGGGCAAAGAATTCCACTTACGAATACACAGTGTGTTATGAGACCGTAAAATCGGACATTCTCATTTATTTGATGAATCGTTTAGAGTTCATTTATGCAAATATGATAGAAAAACTCTCGTTTGAAAATTCCACTTAGTTTTCGAGATACAAAAATTCAAAAGTAAGTTATTTTTTTCTTTTTAAAAAATGAATAACATTCTTACTCGTAAACTTACTGGGCTAAAGTATTTTCCACCGACATTCGACCTTTGTCATCTCTGGCATTGTCTATAATCGAACACAAGATTCAATCTTAATATGCGTGATTTTAATAAAATATTTAAACCTCCAAAAGAAATATTGCTTTTAAAAAGTTATGAGAAATTTACAATTCTGTGTGACAGCCCTGGTACATATTTTCAGTTTGTTTTTTCTCAAATATACCACGGAATTTTAAGCTGATTTTTTTTATACAACTAGAATACATATCAGACTATATGTTGCGATTGAAAAAGTTTGCATATATTATGGTATAATGAAGAAAAAAATAAAAACAAAAATAACAAAAATCTTTTTTTCTAATTAACTGCAAGCGTTTACGAAGCACTTAAAACGCTTATTACGTGTAGTTTAAAGAGTTCTATGAAGTACTGTAACGTTTCTAAACAAAATATTATTAGTTACAGAGTAAGATTGTTTTTTCATTTTTAAAAAAGAAAAAAAATAATGTATTTCAATTTTTATATCTCAAAAACTACGTGGAATTTTCAAACGGGAGTTTTACTCTCATATTTGTATAAATGAGCTCTAAAGAGTTCATCAAATAAATAAGAATGTCCGATTTTACGGTCTCATAACATACTGTGGAATAGTACGACAAAGAAATGAGTCACCAAATTTCTTTGTTCGTGTTGGAATAGTGGCCACTCGGTGGTAAAGCATGGTATAGCTCTGGTAATTTACGTAAGTAGATTAAGATAGGCAATGCATTTTCCCATCTGAGGAAAATACAATCTGGGCGATGCAACCTCCACTTACAACAGATGACTGCAGCCAAATAATTATGATAACATGCAACGAGCAGCTTCCAGGGCTCCATAAAATAAGGGATTGGAAAACGAAGGACGCAAAGATAAACAATATCAAAGGATTAGTTGAAACATTATATTTGAAAATCTCAAAATGTATACAAAACTTTAATACAGGAAATAAAACAAACAGGGGGGCTAATCGCCTTACGGGATCCCTATTGATTTTCTAATGCCTCGCGCTCTTTTTTTTCTTTTGCATTGGCAATAACAATATTACGAAAATGATCGTGATGTATTTAAAAACCTTCGGCTGTCAGAAATAATAACATGAAATTGTACGTGTTAGCGATAGCCATAGCAATCCCGCTAGGCAATTGGCCTCCTGGTAATAAGATGAAATAAATCATCCAATATTATAAATGATTATTAAAACGTTTATTTACAGATAATTACAGTTACTTATTTAGAAGGTAAGACGTGTAAAAAGCATTCCAGGAAATTTACAGACCGTTACAAATTACAAAAAATAACAAATGAAAATTTTAATAGTAATTCACATTCATTTGTTTATTTATTAAAATTTAAAAAAGCCACAACAAGGTCTAATAAAAACGCGACCTCTTGTATCTTTATTATTTTTAGGGTTCCGTACCTCAAGAGGGAAAAACCGAACCCTTATAGGATCACTTTGTTGTCTGTCCGTCCATCCGTCTGTCAAGATCGTTTTCCTCAAGAACGCGTGGAGGTATCAATATGAATTTCATATCTGATACTCAGGTCTACCGTCCCTTGGAGCTGTGCAAAAATCAAACTTCTAAGCCAAAGCAATCAAAAGATACAGCCGTTTATGCCGCAAATTTTCGAAACTCGCACGGGAATCAAAACCTACAGGGTACTTCCCGTGAACAATCTTGAAATTTAGTACGAAGTAACGTCTTATAGTATAGATAAAAAACCGCAAGAAATCACAACAACAAACAAATCCGTATCAATACAAACATTGACGTTTTACAGATTGCTGGATTTGATTGCCAAATAAAAATCTTAATGTTAGTTCCGTTTTTCGCCACGCCCATTCTCTATACTGAAAGATTTCTTATCATCTTCAAGTTATTCCAAATAAAAATTTCACAACCTAACTAATTACATCAACTATGGAAACTAGCGCAATCTAGTGGACAGTATACTAAGTACAGAAAATATCACCTCTCCGCGCTAGATGGCGCTACAAAACATAGACTAAAGTCGCCCATAGGGATTGGATTAACTGCCGGCCTATTCGCAAACTTGACATTTTCTAGTGTAACTAAAGAGAAAATTGAATATCCATCGATGCTTTTCAGTACAAGTATCTTAGTGGTGTTGTAACAAAACAGTAGTGGATCACTAAATAGCTTGGTGATTATCACTTCCATCCTTAGATTAAAACAAAACGCACTCGCGGCTCAAAAGTGATCCGTTTAAATGGACAAGAAATCTGCAAATTTTGGCCACTAGGGGCACTGTAATCGCTTGACCCAAAACTTCTATCAAATACATACCTATTAGCTTATATTCATTTTTAAGCTTTTTATTAAACAAATTACAAATGCCGCATTGTGAAATTCCTGGTTGTTGTGAGTAAACTGCACGCTTACCGACTAAAATATAATTTTATATGCTGATTTGTAGAACTCAGTTGCTGTTTACATCATGGTATGTATCTGGGGCAGGTAATTGCATCTGGATGTCTTCATTTTGATCAGGAATAACTGCATCAAAATTAAAATTGCTTTCATATGCCTCAAGTCTGTAAAAAAACCCAATGTGATACTTTCCATTTTAGCCAGAGTAACCTAACTCTATGAGATGTCTGACTAATGCAAAAATAAGATAGTTTTGACTAAAGAACCCGCTAAAAGTTACTGAGATACATGAACTATTAAAAATAATCATGGAAAATGCATTTATGTACCGAGAATGAGCATTGTAGCATAATAATAAAAACAGTACCTTTCTACAAGATCAGATTATCTGCCTTGCACAGATGCTCCTCTCCTTTTCAACTCTGTTTTCAGCTGTATTACAGATTATGTTGAATACATTTTCACCACTTATTTAATATTTTTAACAACAAAAAAACTCGTTTAAAATTTGACAGCTGCAACATTCGGCTGTGGTTTGGGTCAAGCGTTTGCAGCGCCATCTATGTTGAGCTTTGCGTATACTTCTCCATTGTGGTGTATGATCACAATTCGCTTTAGTCACAATTGGACATTCAAACACGATGCATGTGCACTCAATATAATAATATTGCTTATATTCTGTGTTATAAAGAACACAGTTCAAAATCAAATAATAAATGCCTCGGCCGAACTTGGGCGTCTTATCGTACGAGTAACCGGATTTTTATTGCTTTTTAAATTTTATTTTTTAAAAGCGCCGCCATCTTTTTCCATTGCAGATATTCATTTCGTGTTCCCCCGTGTTTCATGAATGACGTGACTAATTGTCTATATATCATCTGGAGTCTTATCAAACTAGGTTTAGTGTCATGGGCTTTCGGATTAATAGTTCTTTCGCTAGCTTTAGGTACATACTCTGATTGTTAATTAAATAGGAAAGATAATTATCATGTGGTATATTTATTTAAAAAAGCCAATTATTTAATTACACTTATAATGTGCTTACGTAATCACCACATGTGTTCTTTTAGGTGTAAAACAGTAAGTTTCAGTCATAGTTGATAATATACATTGTTAAATATTATTATATTTTTACACATAGCAATACTATTCTTGTAGAAAGAATATTGAAATAGATTTTACTAATTAACGTTAATAATCTTTACGCCATACAATTTGTAAGCACATTTATATTAAATTACATAACATTATATTGCTGACTGGTAACATTGTATTTTATTTAGCATAGCAACATTTGATTATTTCTTATAAAATCTTTTTATATTGCTCTCTAATACAATTTATAATATGTATTTACTTACTATAATAACGTCCTTGATAATTTTTAATCTATGTGTATAAGTAAGTACATAATTGTGTCGATTCTGTTATAATTCTCTAAACTTAAAACTAAATTACAGAATGAAAAGGACAGACTGTTGTCAAATTTCAGTTTAGGTTCAGAGAACCCTGCCAGAATCAACACCAAAGATTGGTTAAATAGTAAAAATGGAATAAATCTCTGTAAAAGGAAGACATACACAATAAATACTATTATGATATGGAGTACTTACATTTCACATCAACATTACTTTATAAATATTTTTAAATTGTATTTTGTTTATTTTTTTATGAAAATTTGATTTATCTTTTTAGCTTCTAATAAACGTCAAAGCAGAGAGGAGCTCGATGGCGCAAGTGGTTAGCGCGTTCCGCTGCGATCGTTAAATTTAAGCAACTTTCGCAGTGGTCGGTCATTGGATGTGTAACCGAAAATTTACTATCTCGAGCTCCTCCGTGCTTCGGAAGGCACGTTAAGCCGTTGGTCCCGGCTGCATCTGCTGTCGTTAGCACTGGACCCGCGTGGTGGGTCATGGCCCAATCTCCCTATTCCATCCATAGGGAAGGCCTGTGCCCCAGCAGTGGGGACATTAATAGGCTGATGATGATGATGATGATGAAACGTCAAAGCAAGGAGTCCTCTTTGCCGATAAACATTTATAACACGCAACCCTACATGGTGCATTCAACAATCTGTTGTAGATGATACATAGAACTGCTAGATCCAGCGTGCAAGACAGCGCTATACACGTAAAAAAGATGGAGACACAGGACCTCTTTCTGTCTATGCTGTCTCACACAGTGGATACAGCAAGATGGATAGATTGGCCTTAGGATAATAAATAAGCCACTGTGTCGATGAATTACTGAACACCGAAGAAAAGTCCTTTGAATAGACTACAGAACAAGAGTAATAATTCTAATAGTCTTTCTGAGATCTTGCTTTCTGAGCCAAACCAAAATCCTCCGTAGACTACACAGTCACAAATCACTGAGCACCTAATAGCTCCAGTCTTCGGTCTTCCCTAAGGTCTTGCTTACCTAAGTCCTGTGTTTATTTACACTTTACGAGACCACCTTGACGAATCACTAAACATCTAAAGTCCTTGAAGAGTTCACGGTACGGAGTCAAAGAATCACTGAACATTTAATAGCTCCAGTGGTCTTCCATAAGGTCTTACTGCACCGTGGCTGTATGCCACATACGGCCAGTAGACCAGTTCCCACGGTGCAACGAAGCATTGAACATCTAATGAAAGTCCTTTGTAGAGTTAACGACAGCAGGTTGATTAAGTTTTTCCTGAGGTCTTGCGGACTTCTTCCCGAAGAATGACACAGAAATTTTGTTTGAGGTATTTGCCGTTTGTGAATCCGAGTCTTCGTTACCAAAGTCCTTTGTGGAATACACTGTATGAGGTCAACGAATCACTGAACACCTAATAACTCTAGTGGTCTTCCCTAAGGTCTTGCTAGAAGCCAGGTTCGCAGCCGTGTATGGCCGGCAGACCAGTTCCCACGGCATGTTGATATGCCGCGGACTTCTGCCCGAAGAATGACAGCATTGTTTCCAAGGCACCGAGGAGGTACTAGTCGTTTGTGAATCTGAGTCTTCGTTACCAAAGTCCTTTGAGGAATACACTGTATGAGGGCAACGAATCACTGAACACCTAATAACTCTAGTGGTCTTCCCTAAGGTCTTGCTGGAAGCAGGGCACGCAGCCGTGTATAGCCGGCAGACCAGTTCCCACGGCACGTTAATTCGGCGCGGACTTCTTCCCGAAGAATGACAGCATTGTTTCCAAGACACGGAGCAGGTATTTGCCGTTTCTGAATCTGATTTTTCATTACCAAAGTCCTTTGAGGAATACACTGTATAAGGTCAAAGAATCACTGAACATCTATTTAAAGTCCTTTGTATAGTTTGCGATACGATATTGTAGATGAATCACTGAACATTTAAGAAAAGTCTTAACTGAGCATCTAATAGCTCCAGTCGTCTTCCCTAAGGTCTTGCTGGACACCCGACATACAGCCGCGTATGTTCGGCAGACCAGTTTCCATGGCATGTAGATACGCCGCGGACTTCTTCCCGAAGAATGACACAGAAATTTTGTTTCCAAGGCACGGAGGAGGTATTTGCCGTTTGTGAATCCGAGTCTTCGTTACCAAAGGCCTCATGAAGAATACACTGTATAAGGTCAAAGAATCACTGAACATCTATTTAAAGTCCTTTGTACAGTTTGCGATACGATATTGTAGATGAATCACTGAACACTTAAGAAAAGCCTTAACTGGGCATCTAATAGCTCCAGTGGTCTTCCCTAAGGTCTTGCTGGACACCCGGTACACAGCCGCGTATGGCCGGCAATCCAGTGCCGACGGCGCGTTGGTACGCCGCGTACTTTTCTCCGAAGAATGACAGTAATGTCAATTCCTCCGCATACACTCGCTCGCGGAAGAATGTCCAAGACGCGAGCGCGTAAACCATCAGGCATACGGGGTTGAGAAGCGTTACCTATGGAACGAAATGTTGAAATTGGAGTATGAGGGAAAGTAGAAATATTATTTAGCCTTAAGGCTAAAAGATAAAAAAGTTTTAAGTTTAGTTTAGACATGAATCGAATTTGCGGTCCCGCTCTTGGTAATTAACTTTTGAATTTGTCTTAAATTGGTATTGTCGCTTTTTTGCTGATTACAATAGAATGGGATTATGCAATATTACCATATATTACTGCCGCGACTTCGTCTGCGTGGAAAAATTGGTTTTCCAATACAAACTTCCACCCACCAAAATGAAAACTACTCCAGGTCCTTTCCCGGAACTTAAATTATCTCTATGCCAAACGTCAAATGCAGATCAGCGGTTTAAGCGTGAAGAGGTAACAGACAAACAGACAGAACACTATTCTATTAAGAATATTGGTATGGATTATCAGCGGGTGCCCGCAACTTGGTCTGCGTGGTTAAATTGGTTTCTCATACTTCCGTTTCACTTTCTGGGATAAAAACTATCATATGTACTTTCCCAGGAGAATTTAAACTTAACTCCCTTAGTGATAGAGCGCATCACGGAGGAAATCGTTGGCGCAGATGATTAGCGCGTCCGACTGCGATCGTCGAAGTTAAGCAACTTTCACAGTGGTCGGTCATTGGATGGGTTATCAAAAATTTACTATCTCGAACTCCACCGTGATTTGAAAGGCACGTTAAGCCCTTGGTGCTGTCTGCATTTTCAGTCGTTAGTAACCACTAATCCGCATTGGGCACGCGCTGTGGGCCAGGGCCCAATCTTTTTATTCCATCCATAGGGAAGGTCTGTGTCCAGCAGAGGGGACATTAATAGCCTGAACCAGCCCACGTAGCTGTACACATCACCAGCGCGTGATCTGGACCTCATGTATTGGATTAGAGTACAGATATTACCCGAGTGCCGACTGACCAGTAGAACCAGCCCACGTAGCTTTACACATCACCAGCGCGTGATCTAGACCTCATGTATTGGATTAGAGCACAGCTACTACCTGAGTGCCGACGGACCAGTAGAACCAGCCCACGTGTACACATCACCAGCGCGTGATCTGGACCTCATGTATTGGATTAGAGCACAGCTACTACCTGAGTGCCGACGGACCAGTAGAACCAGCCCACGTGTACACATCACCAGCGCGTGATCTGGACCTCATGTATTGGATTAGAGCACAGCTACTACCTGAGTGCCGACGGACCAGTAGAACCAGCCCACTGTTGATTTTAATTAACTATTTGCAAAAATTAATCTCTTATATATAAGTTTATAGTATGCCTAATATTTCGTTATGGTCAAGTCTAAGGCTGTTTATCTATGACTTTGTCTGTGGTATAAGCGCCATCTTTCTTTAGTGCAAGTATATAAATACTTCTCTTTGAGTGCAGCTCTCACTTTGTATCGGACAGTGCTAGGGATCAGACGTATACCTTCTTGGTGACGAAGTAAATATAAAATAGTTATTTTCATCAGTGAAATCAGTGTTTCAATTGCCCATAATCTCCTATAGGTTATGGGCCCAGCGTAACTTTTTTTGTTTCGGCTACCTACATTTAAATTATCATCTGCTAAATTCGTAATGGAAAACTTTAAATCAAAGCGAAATATTAGGCCATTCGACGGTGAAAAGTATAGTGTGTGGAAGTTTAGAATACGTGCTTTATTATCTGAGATGGACGTGATAAGTGTGATTGACAGCGACCCGATTCTACACTGCAGTGAGTGGGAGTTGAATAATCGAATTTAGAAAAGCACCATCGTCGAATATTTGTCAGACTCCTACTTGGGGTTTGCGAAGGAAGATAATTCAGCGCGGGATATCTTCAAAAGGTTAGACGAGTTATATGAACGCAAAAGCATTGCAACACAGTTAGCATTGCGTAAAAAGCTATTGTTGTTAAAATTACAAAGTGATCAACCGCTAATAAAACATTTTACAAACTTTGATGATTTAATAACTGAATTACTTGCGGCGGGTGCCAAAGTAGAAGAAACCGATAAAGTTGCTCATTTGTTGCTCACGCTACCATCAAACTACGATGGCGTTATTACAGCGATTGAAACCTTGTCTGAGGATAATTTAACGCTTGCCTTCGTAAAAACGCGACTTTTGGACCATGAAGTGAAAATTAAAAATGAAGGTAGTGATACGAGTGTGAAAGTACTACACGTAGAAAACAAATCAAATATGTCGTGGAGGAAAAGAAAAATGGACGGTACACAGTTGATATATAATGAAAATAACTACAGGAAAGACAACAAAATAAGAAAGAAGACTAATTTTATTAAATGTCACCATTGCGGACGAAAAGGACACAAGAAGAATGATTGCTATTATTACAAGAAAATAAACCAAAATCAACAACAGAAGCCATCAACTGATAGACCTAGAACAATTCAAGCAGTGGAAACTCATCAACCCGGAACATCTAATGATTTTAATGGATTTGCTTTTATGACTGCAGAATATTTTATATACCCACAAGATCTTAATAACAAAATAACATTTTTATTGGATTCTGGTGCTTCCGATCATATAATAAACAGGGAAGATCTTTTTGTTTCTTATACTAATCTAAAAGTACCTCTTAAAATTTCAGTTGCTAAAAATGGTGAATTTATTTCAGCTACAAAAAGGGGAACTTTGCAACTTACAACTAATTTAGGCGTTCAAGGAACCTTGGAGGAAGTACTATTCTGCCGTGAGGTGCCGTATAACTTGCTGTCAGTTTCCAAAATGCAGCGAGCTGGATATACGGTTGTTTTTGGACAACACGGAGCACAAATTCACAAGGACAGTAAGACAATTATGCAAGGTAGGTCTTATAATAATTTAATTGCTATTGATTTTGTAGCTTTTGTGAATCGTAGTGATCCTGTTTCTCATATTTGCAGTAATAATGACGATAGTTATAAATTATGGCATCAACGTTTAGGTCATATGAGTAAAAATAAATTTTTAGAAATTAAAAATAATGAATTAATAAAGGATATAGATCAAATTGATAAAGTTAAACCTAACGATGAATTTTGTGAAGCATGTATAAATGGGAAACAGAGTCGACTGCCATTCAATCAAGCTAAAGATAAAAGTTACATAAAACGACCGTTATATATTATACACTCGGATGTGTGTGGCCCTATAACTCCTCCAACTATTGATAACAAAAATTACTTTGTACTTTTTGTTGATGAGTATACTCATTATTGTGTGACATACTTGTTAACTCGTAAATCAGATGTGTTTTCCATGTTCAAAGATTTTGTTGCAAAAAGTGAAGCCAAATTCAATTCTAAAGTAGTTCATCTTTATTCTGATAACGGTGGGGAATACTTATGTAACGAAATGAAAAGTTACTGTGTTGAAAAAGGTATAACATATCATTTGACAGTTCCTCGAACTCCGCAATTAAACGGCGTTGCTGAGCGGATGGTTAGGACGATCACAGAAAAAGCTCGTTCATTATTAAATGGTGCTCAATTAAATACAATATTTTGGGGCCATGCAGTTTTGACTGCAGTTTATTTAATAAATTTAACACCAACATCGGCTTTAAAAGTTTTACAAACACCATTCGAAATGTGGCATAATAAAAAACCTACAGTCAAATATTTAAAAGTTTTTGGCTCAACTGTTTATGTTCATAATAAAACGAGTAAATCCAAATTTGATAGTAAATCATGGAAGGGTATTCTATTAGGGTATGAACCAAATGGTTACAAAGTTTGGGAACCTGAAAGCGAAAAGTGTGTTGTAGTCAGAGATGTTATTGTAGACGAGACTAATTTTATGAAATCCAGGCCTAATGTGAAGCCTGAAGAGAATATACTAAATTCTCATGACAAAACTGATATGAATGTAAATTCGAAATCAGTGTCAAATGAGTCTCGGAACTCTGACGGACTAAAATCAGATAATGCGAAATCTGATATTATACAGGTTATCCCTAGTAAAATTCGTAAAGTACAACATGATACCGTAGAATGCGATAAATCTGGCAGTTCATCATCAGATACGCAGCAAAACTTGGAAAACACAACTGAATTAAGGAGGAGTAAAAGGTTACAAGGTCGTCCCCCCATCTGTTATGATGAAAATAATATGAGTAATGATGAGTGTTTAATGTGTGCACAGTCAATAATATGTAAAGTACCTAATTCATTCGACGAAATTAAAAGTCGCTCGGATAGATGTCAGTGGGAAAATGCAATCAGAGATGAGTTGCATTCTTTATCTATGAATAAAACTTGGACGCTGGTGCCACGACCAGAGGGCAAAAACATTGTAGATTGCAAATGGATTTTCACTATCAAAAACGATGAATTTGGTAAACCGTTCCGTTATAAGGCACGGCTAGTGGCTAGAGGATTCAGTCAGGAGTATTTAACTGATTATAACGAAACTTTTGCACCTGTAGCTAGAATCGCTAGTTTTCGATTTTTGATTAGTTTTGCAAATCAATATAATCTATTAGTCCATCATATGGATGTAAAAACCGCTTTCTTAAACGGTGAATTAAAAGAGGAAATATTTATGAAAGTTCCTGAAGGTGTAATAATTAATGACAGTAATTATGTTTGTAAGCTAAATAAAGCACTATATGGACTAAAACAGGCGGCTAGGTGTTGGTTTGAGGTTTTTGAGCGATCATTAAAAGAAGAAGGCTTTATGAATTCTTCAGCAGACAGGTGTATATACATTTTGAATAATGGTAGTGTCAGTAAAAATATCTATGTAGTATTATACGTTGATGATTTGGTTATAGTGTGTAAGGAAAATGAAAGAATGAATAATTTTAAAAGATATTTAATGAGTAAATTTGAGATGACTGATCTAAAAGAAATAAAATTATTTTTAGGCATTAAAGTAACAAGAACTGATGCAGAAATAATATTAGACCAAAGTGCTTACATTAGAACAGTGTTAGAAAAATTTAATATGTTAGACTGTAATCATGTTAATACACCTCTAGAAAATAAAATAAATTATGATGCATTAAACTCTCAAGAAAAATGTAATGCTCCATGTCGAAATGTTATAGGTTGTCTTATGTATATAATGTTATGTACTCGCCCTGATTTAAGTACAAGTGTTAATATACTAAGTAGATACACTAAATTTAATAATAAGGAGCTATGGCATTGTCTGAAAAGAGTACTTAGGTATTTGAAAGGTTCTATAGATTTGAAATTATGTTATAAGAGATGCAATGAATATAGTAATATTTTAAGCGGGTATGTCGACTCTGACTGGGGCGGTCATGATACCAGGGATAGGAAAAGTACGACTGGGTATTTATTTAAATTATTTGATTCTTGTACAATAACCTGGAGTACAAAGAAACAAATGTCCGTGGCAGCCTCATCTATTGAGGCAGAATATATGGCATTGTATGAAGCGGTCAGAGAGGCATTATGGCTAAAATCACTAGCAATCAGTTTGAATATAAATATTGATAAACCTATAGTTATTTTTGAAGATAATAATGGTTGCATAAGTATTGCAAATAATCCGATTAATCATAAACGGACTAAACATATAGATATCAAATATCACTTTTCTAGAGAACAAATTGAGAAAAATGTAATAACATTAAATTATATTCCAACAGGTAAGCAGCTGGCAGACGCGTTGACGAAACCACTACCCGCCGTCACGTTTAATAGCTGTATAACAAAAATGGGCTTAAGATAAATTAATAATTTGTAAAAATAATAAATGATATCAAAATTATGTTATGTAATGCATGTGATTAATGTAATACATATAAGTGATTAAATGGTCTGATTAGGTTTTTCTGGGTTTCCCTAATCCTAGCAACAAATGTTGGGCCATAATAATGTATCCCAGTAAGCACATAGAAGGTGTACGATCTGTTTAGGATTTGTTTGTTAACTTGATTAAGTTTGTGTAAATATAAATGATCAAACGATTAATTTTTGAGGGGGCGTGTTGATTTTAATTAACTATTTGCAAAAATTAATCTCTTATATATAAGTTTATAGTATGCCTAATATTTCGTTATGGTCAAGTCTAAGGCTGTTTATCTATGACTTTGTCTGTGGTATAAGCGCCATCTTTCTTTAGTGCAAGTATATAAATACTTCTCTTTGAGTGCAGCTCTCACTTTGTATCGGACAGTGCTAGGGATCAGACGTATACCTTCTTGGTGACGAAGTAAATATAAAATAGTTATTTTCATCAGTGAAATCAGTGTTTCAATTGCCCATAATCTCCTATACCCACGTGTACACATCACCCGCGCGTGATCTGGACCTCATGTATTGGATTAGAGCACAGCTACTACCTGAGTGCCGACGGACCAGTAGAACCAGCCCACGTGTACACATCACCAGCGCGTGATCTGGACCTCATGTATTGGATTAGAGCACAGCTACTACCTGAGTGCCGACGGACCAGTAGAACCAGCCCACGTGTACACATCACCAGCGCGTGATCTGGACCTCATGTATTGGATTAGAGCACAGCTACTACCTGAGTGCCGACGGACCAGTAGAACCAGCCCACGTGTACACATCACCAGCGCGTGATCTGGACCTCATGTATTGGATTAGAGTACAGATATTACCTGAGTGCCGACGGACCAGTAGAACCAGCCCACGTAGCTGGGGTGTCGGCACAGCGCATACACACCGTGCGTCACCAACTCGTGATCTGGACGCTTTACGAACTGTACCTGAGCAAAACAGATACATATATTCAGTGGCGGCGCTAGGCGTCGGCGACGTCGGCCACCGCCGACGGTCTCGCGCCTGAGGGGGCCTCGCAAAAAAAATTTACAAGTTACCTATTTATTTTGTTTCTTCTGACCTGGCTTAGGTAGCCGACCCCGAACAATTCGGGGAAAAAGCTAAGCAGATGATAATGACTTTTATTATTTTCGAACACGTGCGTGATGGAAGCGAGTAGTAGCTTTACGGGTATTCAGAATCGTCTGTCTGGCAACACTATTTTTGTAATTAAATTTCTATGTTTGTAATTATTTTTTGTCAACATTTGATTATCAACAATAAAACTCGTTTACTCATACGTTATTTTATAATTTGGCTCACTTAATTTAACGGTTTTTTACTGCGAAGTAAAATAGGCCTCGCGAACTTGATGTCGCCAACGTCCACATGTGGTCTAGCGGCGCCACTGCATATATTGATGGGGTATGGAGCAAGTAGGCGTCAATAAAGAAGTAGTTTAAACAAACTCCGAAATTGAGAGGAAAGCAGCAACACCACACAGAAGTAGAAAATGAAATTTAATTTGTTGTTGTTTAAAATTACTATACTATGTTGATATCGAAGTTACAGTTCTTTTAAAAATGTTGTTGCTATTTGTTTCCAACTATTGATAAAAATGCATTTTTTATGAGCCCATTAATGCAGAGACTACCTCTTCACAACTCCGCATGAATCCAGTTAGGTGATACACCTGCATCCCACTTTAAAGTTCCAGACTTAAATTGGGCCATTTATTTGTACATATAGTGAGCGTTTTCTCATTGTTGATCCCAAGTAATGCTAGTAGCTGTATTCTACAAAGTATTTTATAGCTATATGTTTAGTACATATGAAATTTATTAGTTTCCACAATACAAACTCTGCTTAATTGACGAAATATTTTTTGTGGAATTTTTGGAATTTATTATTCACAGAAACACAGAAGTGCATTAGGAAGATGCTATACAATGAAAAATCTGAAACCAAACGCTTCGCCATATTTTCCAAAGCATGGTCTTGATGAATTATAAAGCTGTCACACATATGACACTGAATGAAAAAGAAACTCTTTGAAAATGCTGAACATATATAAATAAAACCAACATACTATCTCTATTAATATTCATTTAATTACATTAATAGATTTATTTTAGAGATGTGGCGACTAGTTAGGAAAGACGCCAATTCAGCATCTTTTATAGTCGGCGACTATTCGGCAAAACACGCCTATTATAATCGGGGCATAATAATTAATGAAATAAAATTCAAGCAAGTGTCAGCTCACACCGAAACGCAAGCGACGCGATCCTGCGCTCATATCTCATTCAAATTGCAAATTCAGCATTTGCGTGGTGCATTTCATTATTCTGAATACAATCAATGAAATGTATATCTTTTCATGTAGTAAATAAAGTTAACTATTGAGTCGTCATACGTCATGATAGGTAGGTATGTATTAGAATGATCGGCATTACCGACTAATAGGCTGATTAGTCGGAAATTTGAGAATTGATTCGTAGGATAGTCTGCAAATACAATAATCAACCCATCTCTAATTTATTTAAAAATTTAATAATAATTATTTGAATGCTTACTGTATGGTTGAAATTAGTTTTAGCTGTAAACATGGCTCCTTTCCGGAGTAGTTCCCCACCAATGCACATTAGTATGCCAACATGAGACAGCCAAAAGTAAGTCTTCATACCTGTAAAAGAGTGCAGTAACATAATCTTTTAACTGTGGTTGTGTAATAAACTTACAGCTCCTAGTATAAATATTACAAAAATCAATAACAATTTAAAAAAAACACACATTTTATTTTTACAATTTCTCACAGGAAAATAATTTATGATGTCAGCAGCACCAGAATTAAAAAAAAAGAAAGGGGTACACAGCATGTAATTTTAGGAAACTTTCAAATAAATATTTCAACTAATAAAGCAATCAATTTATATAAATTTTAATGAAGTTTCCCTAACAATTACTCTAATAACACCATCCAATATAGGGTGGTATTTTGATACTGGCTACTTTACTTCTTACGTATAGTTGCATTATATCAACTTGTTAAATTTTGGATAACTCACAAGAATTATTTAGTCCCAGACTAATATTAAAACTTAACTTTTAATATAAAATCCATTAATGTATTTCATATATATTATAGAAATTACTATACCTGGGAAGAAGTAAAACTCCACAGCCCATTCTGTCCAACTGGCAACTGCTGCTACTCCATATTGCACACTATGGTTCAGTATAAACGAGTCCACAGTCAGAGTTCTCGGGTTTGTCAATGCAACTGCCATGAACTCGGAGAAATGAAACATGGACAATATCATCACGTACCACCCAAAAACACTAAAGCCATTTTCAAAAGAAGCAAGATACATGCCCGTCGCAAAGGTTGCACCTAAAAATGCTGACCGTACTGAGACCTGAAACAATGCTTCATAACTATTGATGTTTTTAAACTACTTGTGTTCTAAAAAATAAGGACAAATTTTTCCAGTTGCAGTCACATTCCATCGAAAAGAAGTTCTATACTAATTAGATCAATTCTTACCTCATATGAGAAACCCTTGTAACAGTATCTTAAAATGAAGTTAAACAAGCAAAAATAGAGTGCTGGACCCCAGTAAGTAAGAGCCCATAGTTCTGACGTATATCCCAGAGTTGAGCCAGAATATAATGAAATAGAAAAAGTTAATAACGAAATCGCAAAGCAACCTAAAGCTTGCCTCCCTGCCGGGCACACGTTTTTTAGGGTCAATAAATCCATACTGTAAAACCAAACCGCACAGAAGGTATTGTAATTTCAATTAATAGTACTAAAAAATTGAATATACATGTTATTCATAAAAAATGTTTTAAAACAAAATAAATCTGCTAAAAGGAAACTCCAAATTTTGTGATGATCCAATCCACCAAAACAATCTGCTGTCATGTCACTGTCACATTTGATAATGACAATTTACTTTTTAAAAACTAGGCATGGAGCATGAATGGATAATGGCATTGTAACTTAATACAACAATGGATCTGTGAATTTTACAATATTTGTCCGGAAAACGATGGAAAAAAACCGGACACGCCACGCTATTCATGAAAAATAAATTCATTATACAGATTCTTCTCTTAAATCAAGCAAGCCGAAACGAAAAGAAAACGAAGTACGCACATGGAACTGAACACAGCTGTCACCATGACAACACAATTTGCTTGTCAATAAAATAAGTTAGTTTTCTTATTCAATAGCGTGATGTCATTTCATTAAGATATTTGATTGGTCCATTTGGAGTGTAATTTTTATTGTTATTGATGTTATTGGATAATATATGATAATGAAGAAAATCCAAACAAAGCACAAATAAAAATAAAAAAACAAAACAAACCTAACTTTCAAATTCTTTTTACGGTTTTGAAATTGTTTGCTAAAATATCCAATAAAAATACACGCTATATTTATTTTAGAAATTATGTGGTATTAAGATTGGATTTATCGTCAAATCTCCCGTAAGTAAATAGCTAGGAGTCGGGGCATAATTTTATAAACTGACGTAATCAGGCCGTGACAACATCGGCATGATTATCATGCAGGCGGCTATCAACCAAATTAATTTCCCCTTCGAATAAGGTTTAAAATCAGTGCTCTAGCCGTAGCGCGCACTTTCAAAAGTGCTGTGCAATTTCCTGTGTAATAAAGAGTAAGTGATAGTTAATGCGGCACCGCGCAGTTTCAGTTCGGTGCAGTGATTCTTCAGCCCCTAAGGCGTGCAGTCGTGATAGCTGGCCGTGGCTGATGTGGTCAGCGACATGAACGATCCTTGGGACGTGAAGTCTGTGCGCCAGGCGGGGCAATACGTCTCCTGTATGAAGATAAATGGAGTGCCATTACTGCCACCCGTTGTGAGTATATTTATTTATTACCATTTGCCGGCCTGTTTAATTGAATAATAGTAGCTATTCTCTTCTTCAGATACATTAGCATAGATAAGAATTATAATTGTATGGAACTTAATTTCTTTCTTGTTGAAATTTAATTATATTTAGTTAGAAATCAAGTACTATCTCCTTTTTAAACATTTTTCAGACAAAAACAACTATTTGTTGTGAAAAAGGCAATAATAGCAACTGAGGAATTTTTATTCACAATAGTAATTGCTGTTCTAACATTTTTGAAAAACTTTATAAAGATAATACATTTAGAGGTGACAACCACTACTAACTAATATTGTAGTTTTGTGAATTTTATGAACTGTCTCAATATTATTATTGTTTCCATTTCAGCTATCTAAAGAATGTCGGAAAGAGATGCAATATTACAAACTGCTTGCAAAAGAAGTAGAGAAAAGGATAATACATTTGAAACCCTACATCGATGATAGTGATACAGATTCTAGTGAAGATAAGACTGATGCCCCAGACCTTCCCGAATGTGAACATAGCTTTGAACTGCCTCAAGATGAGTCAGTTTACAATGTTAACAAAAACAAAATTGCTTTAATTACAAATGAAACCATACATCCAAAGACTGAAAGTCCCAATCCTTATATGACTAAGGATTATTCCAAAAATGCTGATATTTCAAATTCCGATACAACATCTCCCTCAGTTAATTCCCCGAAAAAAATTGTAATAGACTTAAGTTTGAGCCTTAATGAAACCAATAGAGATAAAAGTTTAGTTGCTTCCTCACCCGCAGATTTACCTGAAAGAGATTACAATTGTATTAAACAATCGACACAAAAGAACAAACCGATGGTTTTGAACTCACCCAAATCTATCAAATCTAGAAATAATACAACTGATATTGTTAATTTTAATTTAAGTGTTGACAAAGATGTCTTGTCTGATCCGTTTCCTGACTTGTCTATTAATCATGATGGCCCTTCATCTCTCAGTTCTAAAAGTTTCACTGGGTCTCTAATTGATATTCACACTGAAAGCATGAGGGAATCTCAAATGGCACCTAAACTTATTAGACAAAGATCTTACACCTTGCTCAAGCCAAGCCCCCATCTCCTGGCTCACTTAGAAGTGCAGTCAATGAATACAGGCATAGAAATGAGTTGCATTTCCATGAGTGACTCACTTTCTAATCTTAGCTCGCCAGGCAAAAAACGAAGAAGTTGGGATTTGGAATCTGCCAAAATGAAATGGTCCACAATGGCCTTAGAACTCAAACAAAATAATATTGAAAAACGTCAAAAAACTAATGATGTAACAAAAAATAATGTTGTGAAACCTTCACCCAAAAAGTTACAGTCTTCTTCACCACCAAGATCACGGTCAGTGTTACAAGATAAGTCACGACGACCCACCATGGTAACCAAGGTGTCACCTAAATCTGAGCCTGTACAAAAACCTGCAAAGAAATCCATGAGTCCTGTAAGAAATGGCGCATTAAATCGTCCAATAACTAAAGAACTCACATCCAAAACAGCTACTCCTAAGAAGGAGCCTTCTGTTCCAGGACCTCAAAAGATTTCTGAGTCTGATGATCCAGCAACGCGTGTTAGGGAGCTGTATGAGAAGATACAGAAGCAACAGCTCGCACAAATGGCTAGCTTGGTGGAGAAGCAGAAAAGAGAACAGATTTTACTGCAACAGGTTTTCGAAGAGCAAAACAACTTATTGTATAAACAACTGAAAACTATATGCCCAAAATCACCCATTGAGGTAAAACAAGCTTGGGGAGACAAGACCAAAGAATGTGCAGAAAGAGGGCCTGTAAGCTTGAGCCAACTTATCAATCACAAGCCCCAACAGCAATGTCAATATGACAGCCCAGTAAGTCACACCTTGACTGAGACCAACAACTACATAAACCACTGTGATGATATCCTGAAAAGAAGCAAAGACATCACTAGCAGCTTGAAGAAGCAGCCACTATGTCAAGTACAAAACTTGCCTCGTAGTAGTTCTCCCATACTGAATTTGGAGGGGACGAAAACCAGGACCCACTCTCCTTCGAACAGGACGATATCTCGTCGTCTTAATTACGATACGAGTGCGTCGTCAGAACGCGAATACGATCAGATACTGACTGATAGAACGAACGACACAATGGCCGATTTGAACGTGACTTTCCCTACTGATCAAAGTGAGGATGGGCAGTCCTTCAACCTTAATACCACTGTAATAAACCAGTTGTACAGCAGGGACGTTATGGCTGTACAACACAACGCCATGCCGAACTCGCAACTGCATTCCGAAGCCTCTGACAAGAGTGCAACAGTTCAGAGCACACCCACTCGCATGCACAGGCCTCAAGCCAATGCCACGTTTGTCTCGCAGCCGACACCTGAACAGGTATGTGTTAATGTTAAAGTTACTCATAAGGGTTTTTATTTTACTGTCTTACAATAGTAATAGTCAAGGTTAACATAGTACCTAGTTATTTAAAACAGAGTTCCCCAAACTTTTTTGTGGCGTAGACCCCTTGCCATGTTTTTCCGTGTTGGGTAGACCCCCTACTTACCTGATATTGATTTTTTTTCGCTGACGTAGACCCCTTGCAGGTTGTCATAGACCCCTAGGGGTCGATATAGACCACTTTGGGAATCACTGATTTAGAACAACGATATAAAATACCCTAGATACACCACGTGCGCTCAAAATATGTCACTGTCAAGAAGTGCTTGAACACGACTCAAGCATTTCTTGGTTCACAGTCACGCGCGGACCGTTTAAAAGTCAACATGCCGCTGAGCTCCGTGAAAAAAATGCGAAATAAATACTTATAATATGTAAAATGACGTTTTTTCGCCAGGTATCTAATCAATGTTTATTAATTTAACGCATTTCAAGCAAATTTTGTTTTATTACTTACTATAAACTGATTTCATAGAAAATATTTGTGATATTCAAATGCATGGTCGGTAATATAGCCGTCTCTTCCCCGTCCGTATCTGCTATATTGCTAACAGCGCATTCAGAATTGCGCGTAGAGGCGAGAAATAAGGTCTATACTCTTCCGTATATAGCAATAAGTCGTAAAATTTAACGAGCTTACATCTCGGACTGTCATAACTCTTTGACCCATGCGTTTTAATTAAGACCTTATACAGTGTGAGTTTACTTTTTATATAGTGTGCTTTAAAGGTGGTTTTCAATGTTTAAATACTGCCTTATATTGTTTAGACTACGCGATCATCTTACAAAGCTCCGTTGATCGTCCAATGTACCTTTTGGACAGGTTTCGGGCATGATTTTGTTCGTATTGGTGTATTATATCTAGGATATTTAATATCGTTGATTTAGAATGTTAATTTCCAACTTTTGGTGTCATGATTTTTATAAAACAAAGTTTCTTCTTCATAAAGAGAGTTTGCCCACTACCTTTTCCTAATTAAAAACAGTAGGTATAATATGTATTTTCATTTTACTTCTTAAAATCATTTGAGATTCTAGGCTTTTGTAAGAAATCCAAATGTTTGTTGATTGTGATTGATACGGTTTTAGTGTGCATTACTTAATTTTATGTATATTTTTAAAAGAACCTCCATCCTTATCTTATTTTGTTTAAGTTTAAGACCTAATTACTTTTTCTATTCCTCTTTCATTTATTCTAATCCTCGATCATATAAATAACTATTAATGCCAGCACTTATTGCCATTAAAAATCTGTTTTGACGTTATCAACGCCGTTATTATTAATTTATACAATTTTATGTAACATCATGCGTTCGTTCGTCCAATATCTTACGAATTTCTTCTAACTTCATATCGTCACAAAGGCTCTCCAAACTAAACCGCGAAAATACTAGACGGAATTTTTTCTCGAGTGGTGCGGCTCATTCGAATATGAGCCTTATGCAGTGCGGCGTAAGGGAGAAAGTTTAACGACATCTGCACTTGTTTATAACTTATGCGCGTTACCTTCGTAGGTATAAGTAGGTACTACGCACTTGCGGGTGCACTCTACGCACAACAATATTTATAAACTTATATTATGAATTATTCACAAATCATTCATCATATTCCTATTCTCATCCATCAACCCTCGTAATTTCTTGCAATTGTATAAAGACGTTAATTTATGTCTTTGTTAAATTCAATTTTTAATCTTTATCTTTTTTTAACTCGGGTCATGAACCAATTTGTGCTATGATTAATTAATCGTGCAAAATTTTCGTCGTATTCTTATCTCGTCGCCTTAATGCTGCTATATTTATAGCGTCGTTAATAAATGTCTTAATTTCTCTATCTTTCTTGTATATATAATGCGATTCAACTAAGAATAGGAGCGACTGGGCGCCATATTGTGAGGCCATAGCTGTCAATTTAAACCAAACAGGTAGAGTGAGCAAAAAGAAGTTTCATTTAATAAAACTTATTTGCTAAGATTAAGTGAGGAAAAACATCAGATTTTTTAATAAATTTTATTTACTAAGATTGAGGAAAATAAACAACCGATTTTTAATAATATTTATTTATTAAGACTGTGAGAAAAGCCATTGATCAGAATCTAGCTCTTCTATTCTGCTCATCTCTGCATTACCGCGGAGTAGTTATGAATAATCATGCACTATTACTAGGTCACATACGAACATGTATCTTTTATGTAAACTAAAGTTTTAAATCGAGTTTATGAACGCAACTTAAAGTGACGTTTGGTTCACGATTTAGGTTATCAACCAGTCATAGGCAAAGCTCAATGAATGAAAAAAAAATATCAAACAATATTAATAGGGGTGATGACGGGGTACAGTAAACGAAATTCTATTTAGTCCGTCAGTTAGATGATCAAAAAATAATGTACATGTATTTTTTCTTTGGACAATCAACCAAAAAATGACAAAGTTATAGCGCGTCAAAGTTTGGGAGTAGGGGCTCGTGACGTCACTTTTGAGTGAATTTTCACTTATAAGTGTACTCAAACGTGACGTCATGCGACTTTTCAAATCAATATATCTCTGCAATGTTTATATTATGTGAAAAAAGAAAAAATACGTGTCCAATACTTTTTGATAATCTACCTGATAAACGAAGAAAAAAAATTTAGTCATCATCCCTATTATCAATATTTGTTGCTGAGGGCTAAAAAAGGGATCCCAGATTTTTTTGCAAACCGTACTTTTCAAGCGCCATTTGACAGACGGTGGTCATTGGATTTCCTATTTTTACTTGAATCGCATTTTACTTCTTTATCGCTCAAATGATCGAGTGATGGGTATTGTATTGCCGCATAAATAAAAAAGACATATTCATTGATTTGTTTTCGTGTTGTCGCACACAATTTTATGTATACACCCCACCTCGGTAACTGTCATTAGCGATCTGCGGCGACTATCATAGCGGCGTCTTCGTTGTCTCCATTTCTCTTTGCCTTTCCTGTATTTATGGTATAAATCAGTGATTCGTTTTCGAGTCGTCACGCACATTTTTAAGTATCTCCTCGGTAAATGTGGGTAGCGTTCGGCCGCTCGTACGATAGTGGCGTACGCGCGCGGGTACCTGGTGCGGCGCCTGCTGCGGACGGCGCGCGTGCAGGGCACGGTGCGCACGCTGCGGGACGCGCTGCTGTGCGCGCTGCAGCTGCACCGCGAGCGGACCGACATACGCGGCGCCGACGTCGGGCTGCATCGACGGCTCATACAGCAGGTCTATACTACACACACTTGACAAGACTTTTAGAAAGCATGCTCACGCTATTAAAATACAGGCTCATACAAAACAGATCTTTACAGTGTAATTTAACATCAGTCTCTCTTTTTCATTCTGTATAGAGAATGACAAGGAAACACTGTTGTCAAGTTTAAGTTTAGATTTAGAGAATCGTGCCAGAATCGACACCAATAAGTATTTAAGAATGCGCGCTTACACGTTATAAGTCATTTTGAACACATGCACACATTCAACGCGTCTTTTAGATCGCATGCTTAAACTCTGCAGGTCTTTTAGAACGCATGCTCGTGCCTAGTAGGTCTTTTAAAACGGATGCGCATACTTAACAGGTTTCTTAGACCACATTCTCATACTCATTAGGCCTTTTAGAATGCATGTTCACACTCACCAGGTCTATATACAGCGCTTAGAATGCATGTTCTCTCTACGTAGGTCTATTAAATCGAATACTAACACTCGCACACCTTTTAGAATGCACGCTCACACTGAATAGGTCTTTTAGAATGCATATTCACATTTAGCAAGTGTTTTAAAACGTATGCTAGCACTTAGCAGTCTATACAACGCTCACTTACACCAAACACATCACATAAAACGCATGCTAATACTCGCACTCAATAGGTCTTCTAGAACGCATGCTCACACTCAGATCTTTTAGAAAGCATGCTCACCCTCAGCAGATGTTGAACGCATACCCGCTCAATAGGTTTTTAGAAAGCATGCTCACCCTCAGCAGATGTTGAACGCATACCCGCTCAATAGGTTTTTAGAAAGCATGCTCACCCTCAGCAGATGTTGAACGCATACCCGCTCAATAGGTTTTTAGAAAGCATGCTCACCCTCAGCAGATGTTGAACGCATACCCGCTCAATAGGTTTTTAGAAAGCATGCTCACCCTCAGCAGATGTTGAACGCATACCCGCTCAATAGGTTTTTAGAACGCATGCTCACATTCAAAAGGTATAAAAATATAGAATGCATACTAGCACTCAACAAGTGTTTTTTTTTATGTACAAACTAAACTGTGTTGTGGCTTTGACATTTGTTGTATAGGTAATGGATGCATCATAGCTTTTTCTATTTCTTGTCTCTTAGTTTATTCCGCTTACAACCAGCCGGCATTATACTTGTTTGTGTTTTTGATAATCAAATTGTACTTATATTTATTCGATAAGCTCGGATGGGTTGCGCTATCGGTCTGCGTACGTGGAAGTATAGCAACTTTCGCGATGATCGATCATTGAACGGGTGACAAAAAAACTTCATGATAAACAACAAAAAAAAAACGTATGTGCTTCGGAAGGCACGTTAACGCGTCGGTCGCGGCTGCATATACATTCCCAATTATGGCCAATTTTCCCTATGCTATCTATAAGTCTGCTTCTTAAATAGGGATGATGACTATTTTTTTTTCTTCGTTTATCAGGTAGATTATCAAAAAGTATTGGACACCTATTTTTTCGTTTTTCACATAATATAAACATTGCAGAGATATATTGATTTGAAAAGTCGCATGACGTCACGTTTGAGTACACTTATAAGTGAAAATTCACTCAAAAGTGACGTCACGAGCCTCTACTCCCAAACTTTGACGCGCTATAACTTTGTCATTTTTTGGTTGATTGCCCAAAGGAAAAATACGTGTCCATTATTTTTTGATCATCTAACTGACGGACTAAATAGAATTTCGTTTACTGCACCCCGTCATCACCCCTATTGGAGCTGTGTAGTCTCAAAGAAAATGACCAATGTCATAACTCAAAATACATGTGTTTGTATTTTGAGGAAAGCTAATGGTTAATCTGTAACTCTGCTCAGCTCCCCAACTCAGCCTATTAAGATGGCCTATGCCAGCCTCAGCAGTGGGGACATTGACAAGCAGACGATTATGTGAGTTGTGTGTGGTGTAGATGACAGCGGCCTAGCCGGCTCGCTGCACGACACGTTTAGAACGAAACGGTCGCGAAGCTCTGCCAATAGGCCTTGGCTCATTCTTCCGATGCCATCTATAATAGGGAAGGCCTGTGTGCCCCATTATTTTTATAGTGAGATATCGTACAGTATTTTGCTGTGGGGAAATGCTGCCGACATTCAAACTATTTTTGTGCTGCAAAAGCGGGCTGTTCGATCAATTTGTAATCTTAAGACTAGAGTACTCTTTATAAGAAAAAATTAAAGAAATCGATGAAATGACTGTTGCTTCTCAGTACATTTATGAAAATTTAATGTACCTATGTTCGAAAAAATATTACATTATTTCCGAAAAAAAGTGATAAGCTGTACCAATCACAAGGCTCCACAAAATCAATAATTTATTCAAAGGTCTTTGTGTACGCTTCTACTACAAAGTCTCTAGCAATATCCAAAAATTAATCGTCAATAAATTTAAAAGAGTTCTTATTAATAAAGCCTATTATAAAGTGTCTGATTATATTTCAGACAAAAATGCTTGAGTTTAAACTGTTCCAAACGTTCCGGCAGATTTTTTTCTATAATTATGCCGAAGATGAAATGGTTTTGTATTGATACCGTAACAATATCTATCTATATATATAAAACTCAAAGGTGACTGACTGACTGACGTAGTGATCTATCAACGCACAGCCCAAACCACTGAACGGATCGGGCTGAAATTTGGCATGCAGGTAGATGTTATGACGTACGCATGCACTAAGAAAGGGTTTTGATCAATTCTACCCCCAAGGGGATAAAATAGGGAATGAAACTTTGTCAATTTTAAACCGATCGGGCTGAGACTTTGCATGCAGGTATAAGAAGAATCATATATGAATCTCATTGTGTATAATACAAGCCTGAGAACAAAAACTGTAGTCTACACTTCAGCTCTACACCTAAGCGAAGCGAGGGCGTGCCGCTAGTATGTAATATTTTGTAAATATTGTTACATAATTAATTAACGCTTTGAAATTTTTTTCGCCAGTTTTTCTCCATAGCTAAAAAATGTCTTTAACTGGTGGTAGGGAAAAAAATATGTACGATTCAAAATAGTTTTATTGTGCATCCTTTTTGAATGAAGATATTTTGACCCTTGACTTAACAGGCTTTTGATGCTTATTAGAGTTGTGTGTGGTACAGATAACAGCGGCGTGTTACTCGCTACACGACACGTTTATAACGAGCACAGCCGCGGAGCGCTGCGCCATGATCGCCGCCGACCGCGCCCGGCGCCGCTCGCTGGCACTGAGGCCCCCGCCCACGCGAAACTCCAGGCAGTGAGTACCTTACCTATTAACTGATACTACATACTTAAGTTATAAAACTAAGTAGATTATGTAAATGGTCGTGTAAATCTTTGTTCTTACTTTCTTGGAAAGGGGCATAATTTCTGATTATCTAAAAAAACAGCCGAAAGTCAATGTGAAAATGTATTTTGTAGTCTTAACCTCTTTTTCTCTTTATCAACAGTTTTTATTGTTGCTGCTATAAGAACGTCTATATGTATTTAAATATTTAGTTACATTTTTTTACTATATTAAACGACAACTGGACTGTTTGACGCTTCAATCAAAGAGTCAAACACCAGTGAAGAAATTAATTTTTCAGCTTTTATATTTGTGTAAATGATGGACATAAATATTATGAAAATAAATTTAAGAAGTTCCACAATATTCAAAGTCTGGCTTATTTAATATAAATTACCAACACGCAAACCTTAAAATGTTGTTATTTTGTAAATCTACTTAACGTAATTTTCATTTCTTCCCAAATAACATGGTGTATTCAAACAGGGATATAATGTCACAAAGCCACAGCGGTGTGTTCCCCACGCGCTCGAAGCGGCCCTCCTCGGCGTCGCTCATGACTCAATCAAACTATGGTAACACTGTGCTGACTTGTCTAGAATGTTGCCAGCTTCGATGTTATGTTGCCATGTTATAAACGTCGTTGCATTTTCGATTATTCTGTTGGAAGTCCGATACCTACTTATTTAATAACAGTTGCATAATAAAGTAAGGCTTTTTATTAAAAAGAGGAATCCAAATTGCCTGCTATCAATTTTTTTTTTATAAACAATAGACGAAGTGTTCGGGATACACTTATTTTATTTATTTTGGCTAATCTATACATACTTCAAGCAAATCAAACTTGTCTAGTAATTAAATAGCATGTTTCGTAGTTTCCTACTCCCATGTTAGTTCACTGGGCTTTTGCATGTTTAAAATCAGTTAAACGCTTTCAAAACCTTACATTTCTTTTTAGAAAATTCGAATATTATACTAATATACCTATCGTATTTTGCATTATCCGAACAGCAATCTAATTTATCTTGGTACAGGTCCTACTTATAGACTTTTATCGTGTACTCAGCTCTCGATGTTACAGCCTTTCAAGCACTCAGTTCTCGATATTACAGAGATTATAATGTTATGATTAGAGGTTTAACCATTACGTTCATTATTATATTAAGGGTTATTTTTCTACCCGGGAAAATAAAGTAGCCACCTACAATTTTTTCAAAAGTGGTAACGTGTTTTGTACTCCTTATTCCTTAATTATATACTAAACATGAATCGATGACGGGCCGATAAATTTGAAAGATTAAAAGCGAGAAAGCGAACGTTTTAATCGGGTCCACTCAAACGTCAATATCGCCAATATAAAATATATATGTGCTCCATTCCTACCCACAAACCTACATAATATATGTATGATTGAAATTCTGTTTCCGTTAAATTATTTTTGAAATACACTCCCGCTCAAAAGTATGGTTTCACTTCTCCAAATTTTCAGCTTCGGTATAAGTTCCATATCTTGGTGGAAAAAAGTCGTAAGAGAATTTAATGAGCACCGTTTTGAAGGGGACAGTTTTAGCTTCACTTTGCCATTTTTTATAATTTTTTTTATAGTCCCCACGCGCTTTTGAACATGGCAGTTTTTCGATGTTTTTTTGCCCTCTGGAAACGGGCTGTCTGGCTGTTAAAAAATGTTCCTTGCAATTTCATTCATCGCAGTTTCAAAGAGGATATTAAACACTGCATTTTTGTTTTTGAAAAAGTATTGTGCGATTTTTTTTACCAAAAATATTCTAATTTTCGACAAAAATTGATAATTTTATTCAATTCGGCGTATCTTGAAAACGGCGGGTGATCGAAGAAAATAGCAAGGGGGTGAAAAGTTGCAATAGATCATGATCTACCTTGTAGATTTATTTCAGATTTTTTTTCCGACATTTGTTTTTTCATACTCTTGCAGTCGAAATGAAATAAATTTTCTCATGATTTTTTCTTTTTTTTAGACGGCGCAGGCATTTCTTTTATTGGTTTTATAACCATCTTGACGTAATTTTTACTAAAAATCAAATTTCGCACAATTTTTTGTACGTTTTTTTCATTTAAAAAAAATAATTTTTAGTTCAAATTACGTCAAGATGAAGATGAAACCAATAAAAGCAATGCCTCAGTCGTTTAGAAAAAAGAAAGAATCATGGGAAAATTAAAATCATTTCGACTCCACGAGTATGGAAAAACAAATGTCGGAAAAAATTCTGAAATAAATCTACCATGTCCATCATGATCTATTGCAACTTTTCACCCTCTTGCTATTTTCTTCGATCACCCGCCGTTTTCAAGATACGCCGAATTGAATAAAATTATCAATTTTTATCAAAAATTAGAATATTTTTGGTAAAAAAAATCGCACGATACTTTTTCAAAAACGAAAATGCAGTGTTTAATATCCTCTTTCAAACTGCGATGGATAAAATTGCAAGGAAAATTTTTTAACAGCCAGACAGCCCGTTCCCAGAGGACAAAAAAACATCGAAAAACTGCCATGTTCAAAAGCGCGTGGGGACTATAAAAAAAATTGTAAAAAATTATAAAAAATGGCAAAGTGAAGCTAAAACTGTCAGCTTCAAAACGGTGCTCATTAAATTCTCTTACGACCTTTTTCCACCAAGATATGGAACTTATACCGAAGCTGAAAATTTCGAGACGTGAACCCATACTTTTGAGCGGGAGTGTATAAAAATCATTTATTCTAGCCTGTGCTTTTTCAACTATTTTATGGAGAGGGGAGAGGGGGCGCTAATTTCGTCAGGCCTAGGGCGCCCGTTTTCGTAAACCGCCCCTGTATAGTACAAGTATGAATAATACTAAAATGTTCGGATTAATCCCTCCTTTAGGCACCTTCCTCAACGGGACGGTGAGGGCTCATTTCGTTTTTGTTTCTGTACCTGTCTGTACGAAAACGAAACGAGCCCGCATCGACCCGGTGAGGATGGTGCCTTAATTGTGAACTACAGACCTAGATTTAGATCGATGTCTGTGGTTACAACGTTACGTACGAGTAAGTTCATCATTTATCGTTTCCAGAGACCTTTAGCGGTGAGAAATGTCCGGCTCCAGGCAGCCGCCGCTATATGCCGAGCCCGCGGCGCCGGCCGTGGCGCTGACGGTCGCCGTCCCCGGCACCCGCGTGTTTCACACAGCTGCTACCATGTTGGGCGCCACACTAAACGACCACGTTTGGGCGCCAGATTGGACAAACCGACAATACTAAAATATATTTCTATCTGCATTGTGTAACCTAAAGCATCTTAAATAGAATAGGATAGCAAAATTTCAAATTTTGCCTGTTTTTTTCCAAATCTATATGTTTTTTATGAATGTTAAGTCCGTTTTTCTATTAGTTTCCTATTTTTTTCGGGATGACAGCCAACAAATCTTGTGTTACAAACTTTATCGACAATGCAATAATTTTGGAGATTGCTATAGCTTAGCCATGACAGTAATATAGTTTTGTATGTTACTATCTTGACAAAATATTAAGCTAAAAATTGTTATTGTATGAGTTCACCCATTTTGCATATTTTATCTATTGATTTTAATAACCGTAATGACGAGAGTAGAAGCTCTAGAATAATTAACAAGTTTTAGAAGCTTTATTTACTCTTAGATAATTTTAAAATAAATAAATAATGGTTGTAAATCCTCTTCCGTTATGCTTAAGCGAGAAAACGGCATTTGTATAGTTTTAAATAAAATTTTAAAATATTTTATTCATTGCTAAGAAAGCAAATCATGTTGAAGCTTTTATCAGTTTTTTGCTAAGGTAATAATTAAGGTAATTTTTATAATTCAGCTATAATAGATGTCCATAAAACTAAAAACGTGTTGAATAATGATGCAAGCTCCTTCGAGAAGATGTGAAAAGGTATTTAACTTATCATGGAATATAATGAAAATTTTAATTTTACTGTAGATTTATTATTATGAGCCTAAAATTACAAAATGCTTTAAATGAGAATGTACGCCTTATGATGCCTATAATACGAAGGGATAAATTATAATTAATTAAGTAATTTAAGCGATAGTTAACAAAATAGTAAAGTAACTCACCAAGTATATTGGCAAAATTAAAAGTTATTCTGATTTTATCTATGATATAATTTTTGTGGTTTCCGAGTTAGTATTACATATTATGAAACTTGTCATAAACATTTTGTTGTAGCTTTTTAGTATATTCAAAACTAGTTCTTGTATGTAATGTTGTCATCACAATATATTTCCTGATATAGTTATAATGTGAAATAATGTAATTTATTGAAAAATAGTGTCAACTGTAGATATTTTATATGATTTCTATACAAATAATCAAGACTTATGGGTCAGCCAAATATTGTGTGTAGTGTGTATTGTATTGAATACCCTTCCAAGCAGTGTTGCCATTTTTGTACTCGGTTTTTGATATTATGTTTAAATATAACAAATTTCATGTAAACAAAAACGTAATAAATTAATGTATTTTACTAAGTTAAATCTTATGCAAAAGTCTAACACTTATATTTCGGGAAATGTCTGCAACTGTAATCTCTCTATGTATGGATGACGATGTTTGTGTGGATTTTTAATTGCATTGAATCATCTTCTAGTCACACTTATTTCATAATGCATGTATTCCCTTAACTTGCGATACTATGTATTTATAACACTGCTTTTTAATTTTTTAGAGCTTTTAATAAATAATGTTTACTTTTAATAAAACAGAGTTCCATTCCAACTCCAGATCTAATAATAATTTTTACACCTACAAAAGTGAGATTATTAAGGTAATATTTTTGTGCAAAGATGTTTTATAACAAATATACGCAATAAACGAATACCAAATTACATAAAAGTTGTGTTATTCACTAAAACAACAGAGTGCTCAAAATTTTATTTATTTTCTTTCCATATACAGACCCATCTGATTTGAACATTAAAAATATCCGATATAATAATTTCGTTTCGCTTCAGTATACCAAATAAAGACAACCGATATTTTCCGAAACAACACTAGCGCGGTTCGATGCGAGACGTGAGCAAACGCAATAAAAATTATAACTACCATAATAATATAAATATAATCAGTATTAAGAATTTTATCTGTTTACGATTAGAAGCGTGTTCCAAAGCACAAAAATAAGTGAGAAAACTTCACACACACGGCACCACTGTTACGTGTCCCTGTACACTCGCGTCCTGCGGATGTGGACCCCGGAGTCCTAGGGCACAGGGAAGCCCTAAGGCAGCGTGTACTTCACGTAGGGCACTTCCACGTCGTTCCCATCATCATCATTGCAGCATAACTCAAAAACAAGTGCACGGACATGTGGCTCGAGCTTTTTCTTCGACACTCTCATCACCACCTCTGACATCGGCAAACCCAATCGTTCCTGCCTCTTCGGCTTCGGCATGAAGAACGAGTACAGCATGCACACACCCTGCGACAACATCGTGATCTCCAGCTTATGCTCATTTTTGAAGTAATCCAGGAACTGCTCGAGTGTTATCTCCCCTTCCACTTCGAAGCGGTCCCAAAGAGTCCATTTCTTGTCGTAGTAGGTGTTGATCGGGGCTGCGATTGGCTCAGAGAAGCCGAAGAAAGGCAAAGCGAGGTTTACGAATCCGTTCTTGAACACATCTAGAGTGTTGAAGCCTTGGGCTAGCTTGTAAAGTTCGAGGCATACAAGGCCAGCGACTACAGATGTGGTGGTCGCAATGGCTGGGATAATTTTTCCCGCGATCAGTTTGGATCTGTGACGGTCTGCGGGTGCGATGCTGTAGTTTGTGGCGCGTAAGTTGGAAGCTGCCACTATGAAGTCCATGTGGAAGTTGGTGTCGTCGTCCTTCTCGAACTCGAGGGGAGTGACAGAGAGGCCCTGAAGTTTGGCCGGGGGCGGCAGTTCGCCTAGCAATGCTTGCACGCGGTCCTGGTCCATTTCTTCGGCGCCCTGCTGTAACTGGGCATCGTTCACGGCGATCTTGATGCCAGACTTGGGACTGAACTCTGGCACCTGTAATATCAAACATGTGTTGAGTGTTTTTATAAACAAAACTGCCATTTTATAGAAAAGGTGAAGAAGTAGAATTGGTGATTATTATGAATTGTAAATGTTATTGTGGAATTGAGGAGGAGCTTGATGGCGCAGGTGGCTACTTTAGCAGTGTTCGGTAATTGGATGGGTGACCAAAAATCTTCTATCTCGAGATCCCAATAGTTGGTCCCGGCTGCATCTGCAGTCGTTAGCACCCGCCAATCCGCACTGGACCCGCGTGGTGGCACAATCTCCCTATTCCATCCATAGGGAAGGCCCACCAGTGGGGGCATTAGGCATAATAGGCTGATAATGATAATGAATTGTAATTTTCAACTAACTATGATAGATGTGATCGATGACAATCACAAGACTATCTGTCCCTCTTGATCATTCTATCAGCATTAGCTAAGATCATTAATTTCGATTCGTTACTTTATTGACACAGAAGTTTAATGGATTTAAACGAAGTGAAACATATGTATGCGGTGTCTGATAATGAAAGTTCCTTTACTAACTGTGAAGCAAAGCTTTGAGAGAAAAAGCCATTGAACGGCTCGCAGTGTTTTTACAAATTTACCGTTTCATCCCTCATTCTAGAAAGTTGACAATTACACGCAGGTAACTCTTAGTTCATTCTCAATATTTATAGATACTCGATATAGTAAGCTTATTTTGGCAGGCGGGAATTGTCTGTTGTCTATAGTTCAACAGTATTGCACCGAAAAGTCTATTCAAAATTATTTCAATTGACGTTAAGAATCGAAAAATTAATCGATTAAATAAATGCTTATGGCCTAAAAATCATCCTGTTTTTATCAGTAATCCAACATATGCATATGGTTATTTTTTTAAATAATAATAAATACAATTATTCACATCTGTAAAATAAACGTAAAAGTTGACTACTGTTGAACGAAGTTTGACAGAAAACCAACCTCTACTTCGGCAGCCATGTTCGCGATCGCCTCCCTGTCCACACAATTAGGCACTCCATACACCGTAGCTCTCAAATTAGCAGCTGCCACTACATAATCCAGATGAAGTTGATCGTTCGGGTCGAATTTAAGCGGTGTAGGACACCGTTTGGGCCCGGACCAGAATGGGGCTCCACTTGTGGTGTGCTGATCCGGAGGGAAGTTGTATAGCAGCTGTTTTATCTGGTTGCAGTATTGAGCCTCCCAGTGGAGACGGGCCCATCGTACACAGTCTGAGAAGTTTAGGGGGCGTTCGTTGATAGCGTGCTGGAAATAATACATTACAATCAATACTAAGATTATTCTGACAATCTGACAATAATTTTAATCTGACATTTTATTGCGTGACCTCATCTATATGGGTCAGAATAGAAAATCAGCGATTTACTCTCGGAGTAAATGTTACGATGAGTTGTCGCCCATTCGCATCGCTGCTGCACACGAAAACATCAGTATAGTTGTATAAATATAATTTGTTGTATGTTTTAAAGGAGTTATATAATTGTAAAATTTGTCTTCAATTTGTATGTGCGCATGTTAATGTGAATAAAGTTTTATCTATCTAAGACGTGGCAGAGTGGTTTGTACACCAGGTTTCAAGGTATCGCCTACTCGAGAGGTCCCAGGTTCGAATCCCGGTGGAGTCAGATGTTTGTGTGATGAATACGAGCGTTTGTTCTCCAGTCTTGGATGTTTTCTATATTTCGATATAAATCTAATATATAAAATTCTCATGCCACGGTGTGCGTAATTGAACTACTCCTAAACGGCTCGACCGATTTTCGTGAAATTTTATATGGTGGTCCATAATTAAAAATTAGTGTGCTTATAAGCACACAACTGAAGTGAAACTTCTTTAGCTCCATCTGTATGTATGTATATATATATATGTGTATGTACAATATATACATGTATAATGCGATTCAAATAAAAATAGGAATGCCAACAACCTCCATCTGTGAAATGTCGCTTGAAAAGTACGGTTTAAAAAAAATCTCGAAACACTTTTTTAGCACTCAGCTGATTCTAGAATGAAAACCAAACATTTTTAAACAAACAATAACAAATGTTGATAATTAATATTGGTTTTTTGAAGTGAAACTTCTTTATCGGCGTTGGAAAAAAAATTACCGTCACATTTTTTCGGTTACGCGTCACGTTTTTTGGTTACGCGCCATCTTTTTTTTAAAAGAGCACTATTTACCTCATCCGAACAATTGCTTCTTCTGTCAACTTTTAAAAAAAAAAGTATCGACAGCAAATATTCGTGTTTCACACAAGGTAAGGTAAGGTAAGGTAAGGTAAGGTAAGGTAAGGTAAGGTAAGGTAAGGTAAGGTAAGGTAAGGTAAGGTAAGCTAAGGTAAGGTAAGGTGTAGTTATACCCTTTTAGTGGGTGAGTTTTTGAAAAATCTTAGCGCACGCCTATATATATATAGGGTGAAATTGAATGTTTCTATGAAACTTCGTGAGATTGTTGGGTTATGTGTATAGAGTATGCCTGTTTTTTTTCGGATTTTTTTGAAGTATATTTTTTTTATGTATTTATTTATAATTTGTGTATTTTTATGTCCTTTCCTCCTTTTGAGTAGTTATTCATTTTAAACAAACAAACTTACATATCCAGTGAAAAACAACTAATAAATAAGCACTTCTAAAAAACGGAAAAACATTAAATTCCACCGCGGGTCAACGACCGACCGCGCCCGCCAGCCGTTGAGTGAGTAGGTACCTCTAAACAGAGCTCAGCTGACTCGTTTGATTCCACACAATACAATAAAATCGTCTTAGATGCCTTTATTGAAATTGAAATAATAAGCACAAATGTCATCTTCTCTTAAGAACTTTCTCTGAAAAACTTTAAAAGTTAATAATAATTTTGTCACGATTGGAAATAGGCAAATGTTAAACAAAAAGAAATACTTATTGCAGTTCAATACTTGGGTCAGAATGAAATTTATAACCCGGTATTCAAAAGTACTTACGAGACCGGCGATGTAGGTAGGTACAACGAGGAACGAGGAACATATTCATTTTTTTCACTAGAACTTTTTATCAAATCAATCACACTGGTAGTACACAATTAGTTGTTTCTAATCAAAAAGTATTTACACTAGCAATAAAAAGAGACTTAAATTATTATCTGCATAATTGTTGCTTTAAACCACCATTTTGCTGCAAACAAAGGTAGGCATGTTTGCGGACGTGTCTTTTCACCTTTTTTAAAGTGTCCCTATCACTACTCACTGCACAAAATGCAACTTCTATGGTTTGGGGACTCATTCGTAAACCAAACCTACTTCGTCACACTCGCGATAGCAGTACACCATCTCTAAATAGGTATTTTTGGTTCGTATACCGAGGCATAATGAAATTATCACAGTGTATGTCACTAAGTCAAAAGATGCGCACGCGCACGCGCGATTGATATACTTGCGACTGCGTTTTGCATGCAATCAAAGCAAACCACCGCGCGCGGGGAAGAGGGGAGGTGGGCGGAATTCACATCATCAAAGACGCCGCAACCGGCGCTAGTTGCCAGCGTGCGGCGCGCCGCTTGCCCGTGCTTGCCGCAAAACAACATATTATTACGTGTGTGTGTGTGTGTGTGTGTGACTGTGGCTGTGATTAAATGTGTTGGGAATTTCATGACGTGGGCAAATCAGACACGAAGAGTTCCTTCCTTCACTAAGCTCGTAAGTTATACCGATTTGCTCTGTATGATTTTTCCCAATTTAATAAGCCGTTTGTGCTTAAGTTTTAATTAAACGAGGCAACTAACATTAACAATAAAAAAGAAGTTCTTACACTAACAGACAGGCTTTACCGATTTAAAATCGTGACAGTCATATAAACTTTATAGGATTTTTAATTGCTCTAACAGAAGATTTATTTTATTGATTAATTACCTGTGCTTTATGAAACAATATTCAAAGGTATTGTGTATCAGTGAATAAATAATTATAATATAGCATCTAAGACTATTTTATTGTAATGTACACCTACATCGCCGGTCTCGTAAGTACTGTCTAATACCTAGTTATAAATTTCTTTCTGACACAAGTATTAAACTGCAATAAGTATTTGTTTTTGTAACAAAATTATTATTAACTTTTTAGGTATTTTTCTCTGCTAATGAGAAGATAACACTTGTTCTTTATTTAAATTTTGTCATTGTAATATGACATCTAAGGCCCGTATGAATAGAACGATCTCAACTCTGAGAGCGATCTTGAGATGCTGTTTAGTATGAACACAGTATCTCTAGGTCGTAGTCTCACTGTACTGTAGATAGGTACGCGCCGCGTCAGCAGTGCGCGCGCGGTCGTTGCCCCCGGCGTCGGCCTCGCCTGGCCATATCAACTATTTTTCGTTTATTTTAGTAGTGCTTATTTATTTGTTATATTTCACTTACTATGAATACGTGTTTAAAAATAATTATCACTCAAAAGGAGGAAAGGACATAAAAATGCAAAATAAAAAAAAATAAAAAACGAAAAAAATAATTTTAAAAAGTCCGAAAAAAATCAGGTATACTCTATACACGTAACCCAACAATCTCACGAATTTTCATAGAAACATTCAATTTCACCCTGTATATTTCTGGAAAGTTGCATGTAGATCATTTTTCGAAAAAAATAAGGCCATAAAGAAGTTTCACTTCTTACGTGTGTACACTAGTACACGCACACATTTTTTTTTCATACATTGAGCTTCGCTATGAATGGTAACCTAAATCGTCACCCAAATGTCAATTTAAGTTGTGTTTAGAAACTTGATTTAAAACATTCGTTTACATATAGGATGCATGTTCGTATGTGACCTGCATGATTATTCATAACTTCTCCGGCGGTAATGCAAAGATGAGCGAAATTGAAGAGCTAGATTCTGATTAATGTTTTTTTTCACACAGTCTTAATAAAGAAATACTATTAAAAATCGGTTGTTTCTTTCTCAACCTTAGTAAATTAATTTTATTAAAAAATCTGATGTTTTGTCTCACTTAATCTTAGTAAATAAGTTTTATTGAATAGCAAAATTTTTTTGCTCACTCTACCTATTTGGTTTGAATCGACAGCTATCACGTCAAAATATGGCGCCCAGTCGGTCCTATTGTTAGTTGAATCGCATTATACAAAGTACATATTTCATTTACTAGCTATAAGAGAAATAGAGAAAGAAAATGTGTGCGCGCACTGCTTTCTCTTGCTTATATCCGCCACTCAACTCCCGCTCGCCTGGCCTGAACACACTTTTCGTAACGCGTAACGCATTCGCCAGCTTCTTAGACGACCTCCGTGGCCGAGTGGTTTATACGCCGGGTTTCAAGGTGTCGCCGACTCGAGAGGTCCCGGGTTCGAATCCCGGTGGGGGCGGATGTTTGTGTGATGAATACGAGCATTTGTACTTCAGTCATGGATGTTTCATATGTATTTCTAAATAAAAATATACTTATATATGTACAGTATATGTATTGTATCCGTTACCCTAGTATTCCATAACACAAGCCTTACAGTGCTCACTTTGGGGCTAGGCTAATCGGTGTGAGTGTTGGAAATATTTATTTATAATTTATTATTCGATAGCTTCTTAGGCACGCTTGACTTGGGGGTCCCAAGTCAAGCGTGCTTAAGAAGTTTCACTTCAAAAATCATTGCAATGCTCACCCGCACACTCTCCAAGGCTTCCAGGGGCTGCGAGCCGGGCAGCCTCAGGGCCCGATCCAGGAAGGCCGGGTCCCTGAGGTACTGAGAGGCATGTTCCGCAGCCTGCCGGAACAGGCCCTCGAACTCGTCCCGGGCCCACTGCAGCGTGTGCTCGATGGCATTGGGGAAGTTCTTCAGGGTGCAGATCGGGATGCTCTTCTCCGGGGGATCTTGAGAGGAACTGTAGGATTCCGTGAGGAAGGGCACTACCACCTGGAAATTAGAAAGATACTTAATAAGCTGACTCATTGTCGACGGGCTATGGAGAGAAGTATGTCAGGAGTGAGTCTAAGGGATAGAATGAGAAGTGAGCATCTAAGATCTAAAACGAAAATAACAGACATTCTATCTAGAGTGGACAAACGAAAATGGAGGTGGACGGGCCGCTTGCTGAGAGGTACCATAGACAAATGGAGCAAGCGAGTGACAGTCTGGTATCCTAGAGATGGAAAGCGCAGGAGAGGACGCCAGTTTAGAAGATGGGAGGATGAAATCAGCTGTACTCTGGGTCCGTATTGGACAAGAGTTGCAGCTGACAGAGGTGGATGGCGTCGGTTAGAGGAGGCCTTTGCCAAAAGGCACACAGAACTGCGTGACATATTGTAAAATGTTTAATCAATGTTATGTTAAGAAAGTTCTGAAATAAAGGCTATTTTATTTATTTATTTATAATAAAATAAAATAAAAATAGCCTTTATTCTCTGTTGTACACGTTAAAAATAACTTAAAATTAAAACTTTTGGTTTAATCGCTGACGTCGGCACGTGTACAATCAGGTTGTCCTTGGACATAGGCCTCCTCCAAATTGGCCCATTGGTTCCTATCTGTGGCTGCTCGTCGCCAACTCTTGGGTAGATCGTCTTCCCATCTTTTGTATTGTCTACCTCTTCTACGTTTACCATCTCTTAGGTTAACCTTAGAAAGATGCTTAGTTGCCATTTCATCAAAGTGGAAAAAATTGGTTTCCCATATAAACTAGCATCCCTTTTTAGTGATATTTATTTCTTATACTAACATATTCTTAAAAACGCAGGCTGTAAATGATCCGAAACGTAGTGATTTGCATAAAAGTTTAAAAACAGCCCATTTTAAACAACTTAAAAAGTGTTTTATCCCTCTATTATATTTTGGTGAGGAAAAGTTACCTATTACCGTCACAAGTCTCATCCACAGAATACAAAAAAATGTTAGAAGGGTGATCATAGACCGTTGGTTCGGGAACCGATGTTGCCGGCTCACCCCCACTACACTTACACCTAATAGATAATAGCCAATCAAACGATGCGAAATCAAACAATCGAACCAATCAGCGTTCACACCCGAGAGCAACGACGCAATCAGAACCAAGTTTTGGTCAAGTTATGAGCATTTGCAAACACATAACTGTGGCGCGCCTGCCTCGCCCACAAGGCCTTACCAACGTCTATGTGTACTGATTTTTTAGAGGAATTTCGACGCGGTCCGTGAGGACCGCGGTAGCATAATTGGTCAGTGCATTCGCCCGGATTGCGAAGGGTGCGGGTTCGAGTCCCGTCTGCTGCCTGGTCCGCGTGGAATTCTTTCTAGTTATATTTTCTTTAGATTTAAACATTAAGCAGTTACATGCTTTAAAAAATAAAAATTGTAATCATTTGAAATTCTCACCTGTGTGTTTCCCTTGGTGCCCAAAGTACCGCTCTCCAGTAAAGGCTTCCTGTAGTAAACGCATCTTCTGTCCATGTATATACGAGCGTCCACATTGTCCAGGGCATTGGCTACTCCGTCCAGTTGTTCGAAGAATTGGTCATCGTATACGGACTCGGTTTCAGGGCACACTCGGTTCTCTTGGGCGACTACGTTCATTTCAGGGTTCATGCGTTTGATCACCTAGTGGTGTAGTAAAATTGAATTCATCAGCATATTAAATTAAATGTCCCCACTGCTGGGGCACAGGCCTTCCCTATGGATGGAATAGGGAGATTGGGCCATGACCACGCGGGCCCAGTGAGGATTGGTCGGTGCTAACGACTGCAGATGCAGCCGGGACCAACGGCTTAACGTGCCTTCCGGAGCTCGAGATAGTAATTTTTGGTCACCCATCCAATGACCGACCACTGCGAAATTTGCTTAAGTTCAACGATCGCAGACGAACGCGCTAACCACTTCCGCCATCGAGCTAAGCAATATATTAGTGCTTTTTGTAGATATCATAATTTTAAAGACATACAAAATCTAACTGATAACGTTATTGTGAGTTACTCAACACGGTTTTAAGAATTTAGAGAATAAAATCACTGTGAAATCCATAACAGATATGTATATTAATTTCAATATACCTTTCAAACTGTTTTTTTGTAATTCTTATAATAATAATTCATTTATTGTGGAGCATAGGTACAATAATGGGGTGTTATATTAATGCATACAGTTAAGCTTTGTCCTGCCATAAGGCGTTCAATAGGGATGATGACTATTTTTTTTCTTCGTTTATCAGGTAGATTATCAAAAAGTATTGGACACCTATTTTATCTTTTTTCACATAATATAAACATTGCAGAGATAAAATATTGATTTGAAAAGTCGCATGACGTCACGTTTTGGTGCAATTTTCACTTAAAAGTGTCGTCACGAACCCCTACTCCCAAACTTTGACGCGCTATAACTTTGTCATTTTTTGGTTGATAGCCCAAAGAAAAAATACATGTCCATTATTTTTTGAACATCTAACTGACGGACTAAATAGAATTTCGTTTACTGTACCCTGTCATCACCCCTATTCTTGACGAGTTACTTGAGAATAAATATCTTAAACCAGTAATGCTATCACTTTGAAAGACTATTGTGTTTGCTATATTTGTAAGCAGTTTATTTTTATCTTGCTTCATTAGGAAAATAGGAGAGACTGCTTTTGAATAAAAAAAAATCCAAGAACAATGAAAGATCACTGGTACAAAAAAAATATAATAAACTACATAACTTCATTGAATTACGAGGAAACGGGGGCCTTGTTACAATAGGTAAAAGTAAGAAAAAAACATAGCATCACCAGCCACTAACGCTTATAAATACACACACTCGACATTAACACACACACATAAAAATACATAAGACTTTCATATTTTTATTTTAAAACCATGTAAAAATTTAAAGATTTATTATTGTTCGATATATCGAACCTCCAGTGCGACACTGTCACTTATGCAAAAAAATCATTTTTTCAGGAGAAGCGTTTAAAACTTTAACATTCCAAAACATACAATATTTAAAGTTTTTTTTTATTTTTTTTTAGATAAATAGCTAAGCTGTATAAGCTTTTCATCACGTAAAAATCTTTAAATATTGTATGTTTACAAAAAAAAAATATAATAAACTACATAACTTCATTGAATTACGAGGAAACGGGGGCCTTGTTACAATAGGTAAAAGTAAGAAAAAAACATAGCATCACCAGCCACTAACGCTTATAAATACACACACTCGACATTAACACACACACATAAAAATACATAAGACTTTCATATTTTTATTTTAAAACCATGTAAAAATTTAGAGATTTATTATTGTTCGATATATCGAACCTCCAGTGCGACACTGTCACTTATGCAAAAAAATCATTTTTTCAGGAGAAGCGTTTAAAACTTTAACATTCCAAAACATACAATATTTAAAGTTTTTTTTTATTTTTTTTAGATAAATAGCTAAGCTGTATAAGTTTTTCATCACGTAAAAATCTTTAAATATTGTATGTTTTGGGATGTTAAAGTTTTAAACGCTCATCCTGAAAAAAAAATTTTTTTGCATATGTGACAGTGTCTCATCGGAGGTGCGATATGTGCTTACATTTATAAGTCCCTCTTTTTGTTTAAACATAAAGATCGATAAGCAAACCGTAATTTTAGGTATGGAAGAGCAGAGTCACCTGTCACAGGCATTATTTGCTTAAAAGGTGGCTTCAATCATGAGTATATAATGTAACTAAACCAATGTTAAAGAGAAGAAAATAAAATTTATTATTATTATTATTGTTACATCTTAGTAGTACGGCGGGCTGTTTTCGCAACTCGACACCCAGTGCCAAATATTTTGCGTGGGGTCCTACGAATAGCTACGTGAATTTCCAGCAACATCATCATCAGCCTATTAATGTCCCCACTGCTGGGGCACAGGCTTCCCTATGGATGGAATAGGGAGATTGGGCCATGACCCACCACGCGGCCCCAGTGCGGGTTGGTGGGTGCTAACGACTGCAGATGCAGCCGGGACCAACGGCTTAACGTGCCTTGCGAAGCACGGAGGAGCTCGAGATAGTAAATTTTCGGTCACCCATCCAATGACCGACCACTGCGAAAGTTGCTTAAATTCAACGAACGCGCTAACCACTTGCGCCATAACAATAAATTTACAAGAAATTGTCAGATTGTACCTTAGCAGCAGTACTAGACTTGGGTTTCTGCACGTCATAGGGGCGGAACAGGAACTGCCGGTTGAGATTGGACTTCTCGATGAGATCCATGTCGGTGACGGTGACGCGGCCCCCGCTAGCGCCCACGCCAATCATAGCGAAGTTCTTTAGCAGCTCGCAGCCAATAGCACCAGCGCCTGTATCACATTATATTAAGAGCTGATTTTCAATCCTTGTTAAAAATTCAAAGTTCAATAACGTTTGTTCAGTCTAGGCTGTTACAAGCACTTGTTAATGAAAAAAGATTATTAATAAATTATCGACAGATACGTCAAACAATGATGCATAAAAGTCTATTGAAAAAAATTGTAAAAATAAATGTTTATCTATTAATATATATTTTTTTCCTATTTATTCAAATATTGTGATTATTCGCAAAAATCACAAAACTGCCAATCCCGCGAGATCTCGAAATTGGAGAGAGTAGCATTAATTAATGCTTTTACGTGAAAATCTATAGTATATATAAAACTCAAAGGTGACTGACTGACATAGTGATCTACCAACGCACAGCTCAAACCACTGGACAGATCGGGCTGAAATTTGGCATGCAGGTAGAGATGAGAGTAGATGTTATGACGTAGGCATCCGCTAAGAAAGGATTTTGATCAATTCTACCCCGAAGCGAAGCGAGGGCGGGCCACTAGTTAATAATAATAAGCCTTAATTCAAAAGCACTTTTTGAGGCATATTTCATTATTGCGCAATATAGGCGAAATGTGTTATTCTCCTTTACTAGACTCAAACATATAGATATATAGCTCATAATATTACAATCAAGTTACAACTAGGTACTAGAGTGCATTTTACCTAGTATTGTGTTGTAGATAGTAGCTCTTATAGACAGTCAGACAAACGAAATATTGTGCAGTTGTCTATGTTTGTTTGAGTTTAAATATAAATTAATTAAATAAGGAAAGTCATCAGGACAAGATAAAAATGTTGATAATCAACATACAAGTTTGATTAGAAACACTTTTAGATATAGCTAGATGGAAAATTTTGAATAGCAGAAGAATAAATAGTTGTTTTAATTCATATTGGTACTGGGTACATGATAAGTTCTTGGAACACTTACCAACAATGAAATATTTCAGTTCACCCAGCTTTTTCTGGAAATCCCTACCAAAAACAGCCACCTGCCCATCATATCTCGAACCAATAGGCTTGCAGTTCTCCTCAGTGAGAACAGAGCGGTCCTTCGGTAGGCACTCAATAGCATCCAAGTATAGCCACTGTACAATGGGGTGGAACTTGCCGGAACAAGCCTTCATCACTTCCTGGGCTACTACACCACCAATGGCAGCATTCATTGGATTCAGATCTCCTGCAGATACCTGGGGAGCAGTAAAATTATATAACAATATTTTTTTGAAGTTATACTTCTTTAGGCGCGTTATGAAAAATTGATGAGAGTGAAATTTTAAGATGCGCGCGCATCACTGTAACACAAAAAATTAACAGCATGAAGTTGGTCGCTTTAGTGACCAACTTCATGCTGTTACTTTTGTGTTTACCGCACATTAAGAAAATCTACCAACAAAATAGAAATAGAATCTCTATTTAGTGGGTGCTAACGACTGCATTGTGAAGGCCTATCAAAAGTATTTATTAATCTGGAACAACGGAACCAAAGCGCGATTCAGGAGACTACAGCGCCATCTCTTGACCATTGGTGTAGTAGAACCAAAAACCACATCTTTATTTTTCAATGTTACTATTATGTTATTATTGTAATAAAGTAACAGTTATAGGTATTCATATTTATAATATTTATCCACATGATTCTAGTTTGTATATTCGGAATACGTGTTTGAGTTTCATACAAGTGCAAATCACAAGTTCTAATAAATTATATTCAGTAGCGATTTTAATTGAATATTTTGATTATTTATTTATTTTTTCAAATTAAAACTTAACTTTATTGACTGTGTCCTTTTCCAGACTTTTTATTTATTTATTGTAATTTGTAATTATTTGCATGCAATTAAAAACTAATTTTAAACGATGCCAAAGAAGGATAACTTCTCACGCGCCTATTATAGCCTTTGAAGGCAGACAAGCAGACAGGCTACATGTTGTTAAGTGGTCACTGTTGCCCATAGTCATCAGCAATGCCAGCGACACAGTCGTTCCACTGCCTTTTGTAGAATACTCTATTTTAGCCTGTCTTGAAGAGGACACTGTTGTAGTATTATAGTATTATTTAGTAATTAAAATTTGTTTTAAAACCATTTATTAGATGATATTATTCTTATTTTTTATAACTATACTTTTTTATTAATGTCAACAAAAGATAGAACAATAATTAAAAAATAAATATTTTATTGAGTTCGCCTGTGCGGGGCACGGTCCCCAGAAGACTGGCAGTGTTGCCTTGCTGTATCACCAAACTAATTCTTTGAGCAAAAAAGCTTCCAGATCTCTAAAATAATTAGAAATTAAAGATACAACACTAACCTTGGAGAATGTCTGTAGCAGTTCTGAATTCAACTCTAATTCTCCATCCTTTTGGTCCTTCAATACAGCCTTAGCATAATCCATAAACTTTGCAGCATCAGTGTCACTCCAAGGTTTAGGGAGACGACCCTCTCCCTCCTCAAACTTATAAAGAGCAGCAAAAGCAGCATGCAGCTGTTGAGGGTAGTCAAATTTGCCAAAGTCGGTGATAACAAACTCGGGCTCTTTGAAAGACTCTTTCAGAGGTTTAAAGTGGAGCTTCTTCGGCATCTTGACCTGTGTTACTATGCCACCACGAGAGTATTTAGAGAAATTTGTTGTGTCCCCAATACTGAAGGTGTATGGTCCAAGCACTTTGATTTTTCGTGGCTCACAGCCATTCAATTCTGTCATACCTTGCACCTGAAATTTGATAGAAAAGGCTGACTAAAGTATAATGTGATTCAACTAAGAATAGGTAACTAAGAATAGGCGCCATATTGTGACGTCATAGCTGTCAATTCAAACCAAATAGAGTGAGCAAAATAAATTTTTATTTAATAAAACTTATTTAGTAAGATTAAGTGAGAAAAACATCAGATTTTTTAAATAAAATTTACTAAGATTGAGAAAATAAAGCAACTGATTTTTAATAATGCTTATTTAAGACTGTGTGAGGAAAAACATTTATCAGAATCTAGCTCTTCAATCCACTCATCTCTGCATTACCTCTGGAATAGTTATGAATAATCATACACTGTTACTAGGTCACATCCTATATGTAAACGAAAGTTTTAAATCAAGTTTCTGAACATGACTTAAATTGACATTTGGTTGAAGATTTAAGTTATCAAGCATTCATAGACAAGCTCAATATATGAAAAAAAAATATCAACCAATATTAATTATCAATACTTGTTATTGTTTGTTTACAAATGTTTGGTTTTTATTCTAGAATTAGCTGAGTGCTAAAAAAGGGTTCCAAGATTTTTTTGCAAATCGTACACTTCAAGCGACATTTGACAGATGGAGGTCATTGGCTTTCCTATTCTTATTTGAATCTCACTATAAGTCTGCCACACTATTTGGTAAAGATTATATATAAATTTTCAGTAAATAGAGGATAAATATTCATAGCCTATAGAACATTTTTGCCTCAAGAAATTTCAAAACTTTCAAGTTACATTCAAGACTTATTCATCAGCCAATGACCTCACAGAAAAACATCACCATTCACAGCAATTAGATTAGTCATATACCAAGATTTGCATAACAATTTAACTATGTAGAGTAATAGCATGACTATTTGAGTTTTGAAGGTAGTAAATAGTAAAAACTGAACAATCTGTTAATGTCAAAAATTTCTCAAAAGTGACAAAATATTAATAATAACAATAAATAGATACTAATACCTAAGCATCAAAAAGGCATAAATAAATAAATATTTCCAACACTCACACCAATTAGCCTAGCCCCAAAGTAAGCACTGTAAGGCTTGTGTTATGGGATTCTAGGGTAACAGGCAGAATACATATATATTATACGTATTCATCACACAAACATCTGCCCCCCACCAGGATTCGAACCCGGGACCAGTAGGCCACACCATGAAACCCAGTGTACAAACCACTTGACAACAGAGGTCATAAAATTATTATTAATAATAATAATTTAAGAGCAAGGGCAAAGATAACCAACCTCACTAAATGTGACATAGTCACCATCTTCAAGGCCATGACGAGTGTCGTCGAGACAGGTGACCACTGCTTCATAATCATGTGTGATGTCTGCCACCATAGCAGATACCGGGTTCTCTCCTGTCACATCCACAACGGTGAACTCTGGTCCAAAGTCACAGAATACTCGGGAGAACAGACCTCTAGTGTCTGCGATAATGAGAGCGACATTATTAGCGTGAGTGATCGCCGCAATACGCTCTTGCTCAGCCCACGAAGCTCCACTCAGGACAACAACACGGAATTTGCATAAAAACTCTTCAGTCAGGGGACCTATGTACGCCGTAGTCGGGACATAGCGATTCAATTCAGATAACTGCTCACACGATGCCGAAGCACGATTTTGACCAATAGTACTCTCCGTTAAGTAAAACTGAGAAGATAAATCTGCTACTGTACAGTTTTTTTCATCGTGCAAAGTAACCGATTTTACACCGCCGAGAATCACATTTTTCGCGATTTCCACACCCACTCCACCGAGACCCGATATCAGGACGTCGGAGCTTGCCATTCGGCGCATAGCATCGTGGCCCAGCACGTAAAGTTGCCTAGAATACAAACTCTCGTCGATTTCATCTTCCACACGCGTTCCATTGTTCGCCATTGCTGAGGAATTGGAACGGGATTCTGCTGTATTTAGCTTCCGCTTTTTCGCCGGGGGGTCAACGGAATTATCGGCGACTTCAGCACTAGACATCGGGCACGAACGCGCACAATTTTGCCAGAATTTTGCTTCGGTTTTCAAGAGGACAATGAATAAAATAATCTAGTGATAGAAAGCGACATTCGCGCTTGCTCGCTCCGTCAGTCAAGGCCCGCTTACTCACTGTAATGAACTTAGTAGCATGAGGACGTGGAATTGTACGGAAATGATTAGGATGTTTTTTAATTTTTTACAACAATTTTTTAATACTTGTGCAATTACATCTGGATTTTTTTAGCTGAATTTATTGCAGCCGTTTTCTTTCTTTACTTTTTATTTAAAGATGTATTTTTATTTACTACTAATAAACAACATCTTTTTAAGGTTTTATATGGCAATATTTTTTTTGTGTTCGGATACCAACTCAGAGTAGGGAGTCTATGGATGCAGAAGATAGATAGAGCGTAATGTTTAATTTTTTTATTCAGAAAAAACCTAAACTTTAATTTGACAACAGTGTGTCCTTGTCCATTCTCTATACGGAATGAAAAGGAGAAATTGATAGATTTAAGTTTGGAAAATCATGCCAGAATCGTGATAAAAGTTGAGTGCGTACCTACAAATTCAAATTGCGGGAGTATGGGAGTTTCATCTAGTAAACTTATACCCCCTTATTAATAAACGAAGACTAAGCTCAGACTGGTAACTCCGTGTTTTGTTTATATCACTCAACTGTCATTTGTCATTCAATGAACAGAGACAAAACATAGAGTCAGTAATCCAAGCTTAGTCTTCGTTTATTAATAAGGGGGTTAAAGTCTCAATCATTTGTTTATTACATTTAGAGTAAATCTGAAGCGTTCGGTAATTCCGCTCAGATAAGTTCGATGTAAAGCAAATACCGAACGCAGCTTATATTTGTATCTGCGTTCGGTATTTGCATCGTAGAGGGAACACATTTTTGGTCAAATGATCACAGATTAGTCTGAGCAAATTGCTATTATCGAACAGCCCGACCAACTGTAGTTTAATTTCTAAACTCAAACAGAAACAAACCTCATAACATGACACATAAAAGATTATTTTTTCTCGACGGTATAAATATTCCGAGCAAACAAATTTACATCTGGCTGATCTGAGCGGAATTACAGAACGCTTCAGATTTACTCTAGATGTAATAAACGAACGATTCAGACTAAAAAGATTAATGAGACTCAAATACAGTATAGATTTTTTTATGTGAGGTGCAGAAGAAGAAGAAGAAAAGTGTGAAGAAACAACATGCAGGCCGACAGGGTAAGGATGGCTGGTGTGGCAGGTAGAACTGCTGTATCAGCTATCTTCGCGTCTGGACATCACCTTCACTTAACATCAGGTGGGGTAGAGTCATTTGTCGGACCTATCTATAAAAAAAAAGGTGCAACAAATTACTCTACCATCATGTGTAAGTGGAGTTCAGTTGCAAAGATAGATGATGCGGCAGAAGGTGATTGTATGATGGTGGTAAATCTATAATTATTTTTATTTTTTTGGATAGTATTTTTTTTTATTTTGTAAATATCACTTACATTTTAAAACTTTGCGCTGTGTGTGTATCCGAATGTAATGTTTTTCATTCAGGCAACTCCTCTGGAGCTGTCAGTTTTGGCGTGTTTATGACAGCATGAAATGCAGTGCAAGTGCAGCTAAGTTCAGAACAAACAACCTATGTTGTCAGTGTCAGGCGATATCATTTCAGAAGAATTTTCAATTTCAATTTCCAATCTTGTTTCAAGAGCACGGCGTTAATGTCGTGTTTATTATTTATTTATTGACATATCATTTTGTTGCTTGTGCGTAATCAGGAGTGAGAAGTGTTCGAACAGCATGAATATTGTGTGATATTGTGACCGTGAGATCTTACTGAATCCTTTTATTGTTTACCTCTTCAATACAAGTGACTTCGTAAAAATGGTGCAGGAGTACGTGTCTCCCGTGAGGGTCCACAAGTTCCCCTTCGAAATGGTCATGGCTGTAAGTAAATGATTTCCGTTGTTATTTTTAAAAATTGTCTTTTTTGATTGGATTTGTTTTCAGTGATTATTATGATACAATATGGCAAGGTCACCATCACATCTCATGTTTGGTAAAAGTAAGAAACGTCTGTTCCAGTGCTAATTTATTATCATTAATGTAAACAATTGGACACTCGAATCAATAACTTAAAGTTATGAAATACATGGCTATTTAATAAAATAGCATAGGTGTGAATTATTAGGTCAGCGGGTCTCACAATACCTACAATTAGTTAACATTTACTTTTTTAAATTTAAATTAAATATTTGTTTTGAAAATTTAACTACAAGAAATACTTTTTAATCTAAGTTTTCTTTTAACACCAAAAGTTAAGTTTAAAATGATTAACTTTTTACTTAAGTGTCCATTTTGATTGTAAAACACTGTAAACACTTCTTTATTATTAACAAAAATACCACTTCGTAATTGATTGTCACCAACCAATTCGTTATTGCTGAAAGAACTTTTTCTCTAACTAGTTTCATGCCACTGAAATAATGTAGGTACTAGCAAACTGTTTGGCCTTGGCAAATCCAGTTGCCACTTTCAAAACACTTTCAATATCATGATTATTTAGGTTACCACAATATTGGCAATATTTGAGTTGAGTTTCAGTTAACAGATAGTACAAACTTAAATATATTTTAGAAAATAAAAATGATCTCTAAGTAAGATATTTTTGTTTTCTTCCTGGTGGGGGAGCGGGTGTGAAATCCTCATGGATACCCTTCAGCCAGCTGCAGGTTTATGTTATACTCTTACTGACTAAAAAACAACTGTGGCGTGATGCCTATGGCCATAAGGTCCTTACAGGCTTTTTTTGACTGGGTTTTGTTGGTTTTCTGCATGTACAACAAAGAACCCAAGGAAACAAAGAGACATGTAATAGCATGTTCTTGAAAGAAGATTGGAAGATGTTGAACATTGGAAAAAGGATGTATCTCATCCAGCAGCTTCTCGCAACCTTCACAAGATTGTCAGTCCACCTCCTTGAGGCTTGCCTACCAATGGACTGATTGGTGTGGAGATCCTTGAGATATACATTCAGCTGTGGGCGTCGTATGGCTTATATGATGAAGGATTGTTCATCAGAATCCAGAATAGGTAACATTAAGTACAAAGCTAAGTAAGTAAGTCTTGCTGCGAGCACAAAGTGTTAGAGCAATAACATGAATATTTTGGATTAATGTGTCTGTTGGATTATTGAGACTGTTAGTCTGAGAAGAGCTTAGCAGTACCAGTGACCAGTGAAGGAATTTCTATGTAAGATATAGCAACGTCGATATAAATTCTGAAAAATGGAAAAGCAAAGGGAAATTAATATGGTAAATATTCCATATTCTATGCTGGGATTATCAAACTGGCTGGTGATTGATAACGCCAGACCGAAAGGTTCGAGAGATTGGGGGCGTAACGTCATTGTTTCCTTATACAAAGGCAAGGGGTCGCGTATAGGTTGCGCAAACTAAAGATCCATAGCCACCAAACTGTACGGAGACGGAGAACGAGGCGGACATCCGACGGACTTTGGGGGGTTCCGAAATGAAAGAGGAATCATGAAGTCGGATTGGAAGGTATTCTGCGGTTTGTGGATCTTGCGAAAGCATTTAACAGTGTTGCGCGAAAGGGTCTTTGGAATATGGAATAATATGTCCCGCGATATCGGATATATGTGCCGACCTTATAGGTCGGCCCTGCTGCGCACCGTGCAGTCAAATTATGATAATTCTATTACATGCGTGAGCCTAGCTTCCATTTTTTTCGATAACGAGGAGAAAAAATTCATTATGCATGCCACATCCAATATCCATCATGCACCCGTTGGTACATAATCCAACATGCTGCATTCGGTGAGTGGAAGGCAGTGTGCTGCACTGCTACGTACAGCGTGATGATCGTTGACCGTCTGCAGTATCGAAAGGTCCTTGCGGCCGTCCAGCGACCAGCTCCACATCCTCCAACACGATTTTGGGCTTCTCTAATCGATGTGCTAAACTTGCATGCCCGGCTTCAATATTGGTGTGACTGATGAAGCGTACAATGAATGCTAAAAAAAGCAGATAATGGTTTTCGTAACATTGGAATCCATAAATAATGTTACGATTAAGGTTAAGGGTGTAGTGCTGGAACAAGGAATGATATTGTATGTCTTGGATATCGTTTTAGGATGGATGGAAGGTACACCGCTGATTTTTAATCATTCATAGAGAGAAGAGTGTGTGCAGGAAATAGATTGAATGGAGCATTGGATAAACTTCGTGCAAAGAAAATCTAAGCCAGATGGTACAGTTCGCTATACACAATACACCACAACGCGGTAATGTACGGAAGCAAGAGTTGGGTATGTCAGAAAGAGCACAAAGTAATCATAGTCAAAATGCGAGCATTAGAATAACAGCAGTAAGACTATCGCTCTGATCTGAAAGACACTGGCAATCGATGTTATAATAAACAGAGGCATGCTAAGCTGGTCTTTGGTCATTGGTAATTTTCTCCACAATGTAAGAATGTCAAAGTGGAAGAATTTGGAAGTCCGGGTAGGCAAAGACTCTCCTACCACGATCAAATTGATCGTATTCTGAGGGTAGGTGATGTTAGAAGCTGCAGAAACCAGCGAGTGTGTATGATAAGTATAGAAATGCAAAAGAGGCGAAACATCTGCATATGGTCCGTGCCTTATAAGCGCTCTGTACCCTTAGCACAAACGAATATCGATTCGAATAGTAATATTAATCTCGTTACGCGTCGAATGAAAATGTTGAGGTGGTCTGGCGGTGACACAAGATTAGACCGAGTCCGAAACGAGCATATCCGGGGTAGTTTCAAAGTTGCTCCCATATCTGAAAAACTTACAGAGAGCCGTCTGCGGTGGTATGGTCACGTAATGCGACGAGACGAGGAACATGTGGTCAGAAAGGCTTTATTGCTTCCTGAACATAAAAGAGGCAGAGGGCGCCCTCTCGCCACCTGGTGGACCAGTATGACGAAGCTAATGACAG